ATTTTTGACTACTCCTTTTTCAACAGACGAAAAGGATTTCAAAAGAGGAAATTCCCTCGATAATTTTGATGAGTCCGATGGTAAAACTATAATGAAAAAATTATCCATTTGCAAAAAATGCGGTCATCCCTTTTAAACAATATCCATCATTTTAAATTAAATAAATAAATAAAAATGTATCGTTCATTCAAAATATAAATAAAATATTATAAAATTAAATTTAAATCATTTATTTATGTCGGACCAAATTTTTAAAAGAAAAATTTCTCATTTACAAAAAAATTTATTTTTTCTTTTCTCACGTCTGTCTGCCATTGTTATTTTTTTTGGGGTGGTTAACATTAAGGTTTTTAAAATCTATCGAGTATTATTATTATTATTATTATTATTATTAGTTTTTGTCAAATGAGAAATAAAATATGCGTACACGTACGTGTATGTATGTATAATCCTCGCGTCCTCCTTTTATTTTTTTTTTCAAATTTTACGGTGTTAATCGTTTCGGGTCCCGAGGGAACATTGAGGTTTTCCTGATGTTGTCGAGACCGAGATAAAGCATAACGACACGTTCCAAACCGATTCCGCCACCTGCATGAGGTGGACATCCATATTTGAACGCATCGATGTATGCTTTAATTTTTTGCAAATCTAAAGGCAAAATGTGAGGCATAAAATAAAATACTTTGAATTGGGGCAAAACAAAAAAAAAAAAAAAATTTTTTTTTTTTCAATGACTTACCTATTCCATGATGCAAAGCTCTTTCGCATAAAAATTCAGCGTCGTGAATTCTTTGAGCTCCCGACAATATTTCTTCTCCCCTCATAAACATGTCGTATGAATTAGACGCTTTCGGATTGTTCGGATCCGGCATTGTGTAAAATGGTCGAACGCTCAATGGATATTTGTCCAAAATGTAAAAGTCGGTGTCGTACTGGAAAAAAAATAACAATTTAATATTTTACTCCCTGTAATATACATTTTGCACACATTTCAAATACAAAACGTAAATGTTAAAGTAAAAGCATATTAATTATTAGTTCACTTGTTAGTTATTGGTACCTTGGCTTTTACGATTCTTCCAAGGAGTTTTTCATCCGGAGTACTTAAATCATCTTCTTCACCCAAAGTAACTCCAGCTTCTCCCAACAAAGTAATAGCATCTTTAAATTCGAGTCTTAATGGGGGAACCAAGAATTTAAATGGCTCTACTGCATACTGCTGCCTAATTATCTCGATTTCCTGATGGTAACTGTAAAAAAAAAAAAAAAACTTCATTTAAAAATTTACTCGAAACAAATAGCAAATAATAATAAAAATGTTAAATAATTATATGATTACAGTTTTTGTAAATTAATAAAAATGTCGGTAAATGTATCAGCGATTACATCCACCACTTCGTGATAATGAAATTTAAAGGCCATTTCCAAATCCAAACCGACAAATTCGGTTAAGTGCCTGTGTGTATTACTGTCTTCTGCTCTGAATACTAAAATGAAAATTTTAACAATGAATTAGTGAATATGAAAAAAAAAAAGAAAAAAGAGTAAAAATATTTGGAAAATAACCTGCTCCTACGGTGAACACTTTATCAAAATCAGCAGCTATTGCCATTTGCTTATATAACTGTGGGCTTTGAGCTAAATAAGCTGAGGTTTTAAAATAAGAAACTGTGAAAACATTTGCTCCTCCTTCACTGGCAGCAGAAATAATTTTCGGAGTATGAATTTCGACAAAACCCTAAAAATATTTATATTAAATCAATAATAAATTGATTCTAATTTGATATTAAATAAAGTATTTAATTTTAAATGAATTGATATAACAATACCTTTGATGTTAAAATATCTCTAAATAATTTACATACTCCAGCTTCTAATTTAAATATTGCTTGGTTAGCAGGAGTTCTTAAATCTAAAACTCTATTGTCTAACTTTGTATCTTGATTAACTTTTATGTTCAATGCATCATTATCCTTATTAAAAAGAAAAAAAAAAATATTTATAGAATGAAATCTTTATAAATACTTAAAACAGGGGAAAAAAAAATTATGAAAAAAATTTACTTCTGAACTTTTTATTGGTCTCGATGCATCTTCTATTAATAAAGGCAACTGACTTTTTGCAGAACTAACGACAAATAATTCTTTGACATGAAGTTCAACATCTTTCTGAGTACAACTTTCTATTTTTTGTGCAACAGTTTGAATGACACCATCAACATCAATTATTGATTCCTTTGAAATTCTACAAATAAAAAACAGTTGGATATTTTTAAATAAAAACTAAAAAAAAGGTATTTTTTAAAAGTTTTATTTAATATTTGTACTTTACTAAAAAAATATTTTTTTTAGATATTTTAAAATTTTTTAAAAATACTTACACAGATGCAAATTTTACCATCTGTTTACTGACAACATCATTAACACATAAAAAACATTGAATGGTATATTGTTGTTGCCTAAGAACTATAAAACATTGTTTTCCTTTTGCTCGACTTGTTTGTAACCTTCCTCTTACTTTAACTAAGACACCACTTAATTTTTCATTCAAATTTTTAACTTCAGAAAAAGGAGCAGTAATTTTATTGGCACTTCGAATCATTTCCATATTCCCATATTTTCCTTGAGAATAATCATCTTCAACACCTTGAGGCTCATCATTCTAAAACATTTATTATAATCAAAATAAATAAAACGTGGTAATTCAAAAAAAAAAAACATATTACTACTGTAACTCACTTTGGAAGATTGTCGGGCTTCCTTTTTACTTGCTTTTTCAGCTTCTTTCGCCATTTTTTTTAAAGCTTTTTTAGATTTCACCTCTTCTTGGTTTGATACCAAAACATCACCTTTTTCCTCAGACATAATTCTAAAATATTATTAACTTAAAAAAAAAAATAAAAAATTTTTATTTTCAAACTCGGCATGAACTTAAAAAGTTGGCATCACTGCAAACATGTTACGTTTTATCACAAGAGTGCAAATTTCCTAATTGCACTTTATAATTAATTTAGTCCCAAAAATAAAACCGAAAATTCCTATTATGACACATATTTTTAATTCAAACAGCTTGGAAATTTAGATATTTTCTTATTTAAATAATTAAATTTTTAAAAAGAAATTAGTTAGTAATTATAAAAAAAAGTAAAACTTTAAACTAAAATTAATTGATAATAAAATTTTATGAACGTCAAAAAATTATTAATTTTTTGGAATTACACAATTAAATCAAATTTCGAATTAGTTAGTTTTAGTTTTAGGTTGGTAAAAATGTTTCGTGAGGAATGGTAGAAGTTAAAACGTCACTAAACTTTTACTAAAAACAGGTAACTTAGTTTTTAATTCATTGGCCATTTTCAACTTGTCATTTTTAATACACCCAGGATTGTGATACTTTGAAAAGTTTTCTAGCTATTTTACCTAATTTTAATTCATAATTAAAAGTTTAATAAAGTACAAATATCGACCAACGATATGTAAACAAATAGATAACTCACTTACCCTACTTTTAAATCGCCATCACCGAGATCAAATTTTTGCAGAATGTATCGGATTTCGAAATTTTCAAATACCATAGTATTTACTTTTAGAAAATAATTATGTCTAAATATTATCTTTTATCTCAATTGCGATAGATAACTTTTAATCATCAACTTGATAGTTTGCTTTAATCGTACTTTAATAATTTCTGTTATTGTATTGGATTCATTTTAAGTGTAATTATTTTTTTTTCAACTTAAAAAAAATTTCGATTTTACTTTTATATTTAAAAAAGTAATAATACTGCTGTTTTTTTTTTTTTTTTTTTTTTACATAAAAACTGAATGAGAATGAAACAAATTACTCAAAAGCAAATCACTTTCAAATACAAAAATTTTGTGCAATTTTGAATATTATAACATTTATTATTTAGTAAAAGAAAATAATTATGATTTTCAGGTGATGGATGGCACATTGATAAATAATGTCAACCAGATTTTATGATATCCCAAATGGAGATGATACTGTAAGGTTGTTAAGTAATCCACTTAACAATGAAAATTTGCAAGTGGATGAGTTTGAATTTTCAGAAGAGGCCAGACTGAATAATTCTGCATCATGTTCAGGATGCTGTTCATCACTTCCTCAAGAAACTAGTAATATTTCTATTAACTGTTTAGAAAATGACCTTTCTGTAAGTAAATTTAACAAATGTATATGTAATTGTGTTGGAATATTTTTTGTTGTACTTTACTGAATTCTTGTTACTACAATAATCATTTTGAATTATTAATTAAAAAAATTAGGTTCAAACTAGCCACAGTAATCATAATGGAGATTGTCATAATGGCCATCACTTTATGCCTACTCATTTACATAATCAGTCAAGTTCCAGATTACTTTTGGCTCTTTGCTTGTGTATAATTTTTATGGCTGCAGAAATGATTGGAGGATACATTGCTGGAAGTGTAGCTGTGGTTAGTGATGGAGCTCATTTATTAACAGATGTTATAGGATTTTTAATATCACTAATTGCTATTGCTACATCGAAAAAAAAAAGCACAAAAAATTTCAATTTAGGATTTTATAGAATCGGTAAAGTTTTCACACTTTTCTTTAGTTAAAGTAAATTTCAAGATGAATTAACTAATGTTATGAGTTAATCATTTATTTTTGTAATTTCATTAGAGATTCTGGCTACCCTTAGCAGTATTTTATTAATATGGATCATGACTGCTGTTTTAATATATATTGCTACAATCAGACTTGTAGGAGGAGATTATTCAATAGAAATTAATACTATGATAATTATCAGTTCTTTAGGAGTTGTTATTAATATTTTGTAAGTAGTAATTCTTCCCAATCAGAAAAACAAACAAACAAAATGAATTTTTTATGCATAAAACATTTTTTTAAAGAATGTTTTCAGTATTACACGACTGTTGTCATACTAATCATATTCATTCTCATCCCATGTCAGTAAAAGAAAAATCGAAAAGTAATCAAAATATTAATGTTCAAGCCGCCATTATTCACGTTATAGGTGATTTAGTTCAAAGTGTTGGCGTTTTTATTTCATCAATTATTATAAAATTTTACGTGAGTAATATTTATAAACGTTTTTTTTTTTTTTTTTTTTTAAATAATTTATTTCATCCATCGTGCAAACGTAAATTGATCTATCATTTACAAAAATTTTTTTTTTTTTTTTTTTTTTTTTTTTTTTTAGCCCGAAGCTAAATTTATGGATCCAGTATGCACTTTTCTATTCTCAATAATTGTTATTTGTTCGACGTTAAAACTTTTAAAAAATTCTGTATATATACTAATGGACGGATTTCCAAATAATATCGAGTATAATAATATTTTAATGAGCCTTCAAAGTTTAAACGGAGTGCGTCACGTACACAGTTTATGCGTTTGGTCGTTAACCGTTGGAAAAAACGTTTTGATTGTACATTTAGCCGTTGGTATGCGACCGACCGACCGACCTATTAACTACTGTGATGATACCTGAAATGAAAATATTGTTAAAATAATTTTTTGTTTTAGATGATACCGCCGACAGAGATTTAATTTTATTTCAAGCACAAAGAATCGTTTCGACAAAATTCGGTATTAAAAATCACACAATTCAAATAGAAAAATATCATTCGAAATGTATGCAACCTCGTCAGGAATTCGGACATTTATGGAGTTGATAAAAAATTTTAATTTAAATATTTATCATAGATAAATTTTAATACTAATCAAAAATAATAATAACGCGGGTTTGAATGAATTCAAGCAACAACCGAATTTGAAAAAAGAAATTGAAATTTAAATTATTTTTTATTTTATTTTACTTTAATTAATTAATGCATCACGTATAATAAAAATTCGGGCCATATCGTCTGTGATTTTGATAATTTTATATAGATTAAGGGATAAAAAGTTACTTAATTAATTAATTATTATTATTTTTTTCTTTTTCACACTCTGATAATAATAGTGATATATAAACGAGTGATAATATTATTATTATTTTAAATACTAATAATAATAAATCAGTATTTATTTTTATTATTATTATTATTATTATTATATTACGTAATATTTATATTGTTTTTAAAAAAAAAGTTTATCCAGTCAAAGCTCAATTTTTTTTTTTTTAGTAAATTTTTTTCGTTAAACGTATATATACACCTGATATTATACTGTAATTTATTTATTTTTTATTTTTGATTATTGTTAATGTTATACAAATTTTATTTTATTTTTTATTATTTTTAATTAAAAAGAATATATTTATTTGTATATGGCAAAAAAAATTTATCGATTATAATTTATATTTAATATATATTTTTTTGTATTAACTTATTTATCTATATATTTATATTATTTTACTTTAAATTTTGTTATGTAAAATGCAATAATTATCTTAAATGTAAATTATTTTATTTATATATATATAAATAATCAAAATTAAAAGTTTTATGAAATGAAAAATATACGTAAAATATCGCATTATTGAAAAGAAAAAAAAACTTATTTATTAATAAAAAACATAACTTTGGCAAGCACAATGAAATATTTATATTATTGAAAAAAATATATTATAAATAACTAGGAATTAAAATTTATTTTTCTATACTCGAAAATTAATAATATCATAATAACGAATAATAATAATTAAAAAAATTTATCAAATATTATATTAAATAACACTTATTATTATTAATCCGTTTATATTTCCATACGTAATATGTTATTAAATATTATGTTGATTCTCTCCTTTTAAAATTTCTATCATACATAGATCTAATAAAATTTTTATTTAATAAAAATATCAATTGATATACCTAGAAAATAATAACCGGCGGTTTAAAAAGAATTTAATTTAATTATTTATTTATTTTATTGCCTTATATGGAAAATACATAATTAAATATAATTATATTATTAAAAGATGAGTCGAATAATTTTTTTTTTTTTAAATAAATAAATAAATCCCAGGTTTTTCCATTTAATTTGATTTCCGGCTCTAATTATTTTTATTTTATTATTATTATTATTATTAACAAATTAGAAAATTTTAAAACGTATTATGATTTTTTTTTTTTAATTGAGCAAATATTATTAAAATTTTATTTTATTTTTTCGATGTTTATTAAAGCAAAAAAATTTTTTTTGTTAATAAAATTCATCTTTTAAAATTCACGACATTTTTTTTCTTTACCTAATTAAAATTATTATTATTAAACACGATCGACTCCATTTTTTTTTTTTTTTTAAATCCACTTTTAAGGTTTATTTAAGCAAGAATTAAATGGCTAACATAATATATATATATATAAGTACAAAAAAGAAAAAAAAAATATCTAAGTACTCAACTATCAATTACTACTAAAAAAATTTTCATTGAAAATCAATAAACCTGATGATATTTAAACCTTTTATTTTCAGGTATATCAAATTTTTTATACATTAAATGCAAAATTTAAATGATTTTATGTAAGCATGTTAAAATTAAATTAAATTTTTTTTTTTTTTGTATTTATTAATTGCAATTTAATAAAAAAAAAAAAAAAAAAAAAAAAAAAAACTTTATTAAAAATTCTATATGATAAAAATAATTTTTAATTAAATTAATATAGTTTTTATTTAAATCACATTTTTCCCGGTTTTTTTTTTTTTTTTGGTTAAAAAGTAAATAAAAAAATTCGTTTTTTTTTTTTTTTTTTAATATTAAATTTTTTTTTTATTCGCCGCTTTTTTTTTCCTTTACGAATTAATTTTTTTTTACTTTTTTTGTCCGCGTAATTATAAATATAAGTAGTAAATATATAAATGAAAATAAAATAACGTTTCTAATAATAATATAAATAAAAATTCGAATAACGAGTCAAAATATATACAAAATACGAACAATGAGCACACATATGTTATATATGGCCATTGATTATTACGATCAAGCATTCTAATTTCAACGTATTTAAAAACTAAAAATTAAAAAAAAAAAATAATAATAATAATAATAGAGGGCAACGTTTCGGCACTTAAAAAATTAATATCGGGGTACGACGACTAACAAAAATATAAACAACCAACATTTGGTAAAAAATATCTATAGTAGTACATCGGTTGATAAAATGGACGAAAACGATATGGAACCATGTAATTATCACGGGTGTTGACATCGGGTAAAAAAAAGCGCATCGGGTACTCGTTCCCGTATATGGTCCTAAAGAGCAAGGCTTGGTGGTCGAATACATTTAGTAGTAGTACGTAAGGCATATTGTGAATTAGCCAATAATTTTGTTCCAGCCCCCTCATTAAATGTAATCCGAATCCCGTTTGCGGTGCGATATATCTCACGTAATTAAAATAAGTCCTCGGATCCATGGCCAACGGGGGAGGATATCGATATTGCAAACCTCAAAGTATGACACAACACCGACAATATCCGTGTCTAGCTGCATTATTTGCAGGCGGAGGAGTTACTGGTGCAAAATACGCATGTACCATTATTCCCGGTAAGTGACTCTGTTTTTAAAAATAGCTCGTGTTATTATTTGTTTAGTTTATTTTTTTTAACCGGAAACTTCAAAATAAAAACTTACCCTTAATCTCCGAATACCAACTCTGGTGATTAGCTGGCAATCATACAATTCGATTCTTTGTAAATTGTGGCATGAAATAAGATGTTCTAAACTGGCATCCGTAATTAGAGGGCAATTGTCCAATTCTAAAACCGTTAAATTTTCCGCAGCACAGGGAGACATTCCCAAGTGTCTGATACCTTCATCTGTGATAAGCTCGCAATGTGATAAACTCTAAAAAAAAAAAATTGAGTTATGCTATAGAGAAACAAAGTAATTTTTTAAATTTATATTATTAATTAAATTTTTTTTTTTTTTTTAAATAAAATTTCAATAAATTTTACAAGTTTTTCAAGTCTGGGACATCCCATTGCCAAATGTATTAATGTTGCATCCGTAATTAGCGCGCATTCTTCCAAATCCATTTTCTCCAGAAATCTACAACTTCTGGCAAGAGCTTGAAATCCTGTATCTGTAAATTGAGAGCAACCGGCAACTTCTAAAGTTGATAAGTTTGGACATAAATGTGCCAACATAAGTAGACTATTATCCGTCAAATGGCTACAATTTGTCAAGCATAAATAATGAAGTTTAGGACAATTTTCTGCTAAATGCTGTACAGCCTCATCTTGAATATTCTGTTAGAAAAATTTAACAAAAGAGTAGTTGTTGTTCGAAGAAAAGTATTTTAGAAAATGACTACTTACAGAACAACCGAAAAGATTGACTACTTCAAGACCAGAACAATATTTTGCTAAACAGCTAACGGCTTTGTTATTTATTAATATGCACCCTTTTGATATAAAAGATTTTAACTTTGGACATCCTCTAGACAATGCTTCCACCCCTAAAATACATTTATTATTAAATTTTATTTTGTTTTTTTAAACTTTTTTGAAATCATTCATAATTAACATGTAATTATTATTTTTTTTAAATTAAAATAATTGAATTTAAAAAAATATTCACCATTTTCTGTGATTTTGCTGCACCAACTAATATTAATATGAGTTAAATTAGAACAACCATCTGATAAATACTTAAGTGAATTATCTGTAATTGCAGGACAAGACCCTAAATCTAATTTTTGTAGTTTTAAACAATATTTACTAATTGATTGACATGAACTGAAAAAAAATACATTATTTCACTGTTTAAGTAATTAATAAAATTTTAAATAGAAAACTACAAAAAAAAGAAGCCAGCATACAATATAAAGTACTTATTAAATCATTTAATAAAAATTTAAATTAATGCTATGTAAATCTAAGTTAAATTTATCTGATTTACACAAAAATAGTGGGAAAAAAATTTTCCTCAAATTTATATTTGCAATTTAGAAAGACGTTTTGCAATTTATTTAATTTTTTGTCATGATTATGAAGGATGATGAATCAATATTAACCTATCGGTAATATTTTTGCATCCATTTAAGTTTAAATCTTCCACATTGTTGCATAACTGAGCAAAAGTTTTAATACTAGAATCTCCTATTGACTGACAACCTCTTAAGCTTAACTGTCTCAAAAATCCACAACATCTACGAGAAATATTTTCAATGACTGAACCCTAAAGGAAAAAATAAAAAATGAAAGTTTCACATGAAAATTTAAAAAAAAAAAATATTATTACTAATATTTTAATAAGATTTTTTTTTTTTTTTTAATTTGGGATTTAACTTTAAAAAATAAAGTTAAATACCTCAACATCTCTTTGGAAATCAAATAAATCTATTCTTTGCCAATTGCTTCCGTCTAAAGCCAAAACATTCCAAGCTTTAGACACTTGAGCGCATCTGCAAAGGGACACAACATCCAAATAAGAAAATATTCTGAGTAAAAGTTCTTTTGGTAGCTTCTTATTAATTGGTGCATCATCATCCATAAAAACTCTTGTTAACTAAAACAAATAAAAAAAAAATTTCTATTAGTTACATAAAAATATTGATAAAATTTTTTAGATAAATGAAGTAAATAATTTTTGTTTTCTGACAAAAATTCTACAGAAACCCCAAAAACAATAAAAATTAAACATAAAAAATGAAAATGATTCATTTTCATTCATTTCCAAGGGTATAATATTTAAAATAACTTAAAAAAAGCAAAAAAAAAGTTTACAGGAGAATATTTGATGCTCTTATTAGTTGAATGTAATTTAATAATAAATAAAAAATTTTTTTTAATTTTTTCAATACCAATACTATCAATTTCATACAAAGAAATAAAAAAAAATATATACATAAATAAAAAATTAAAATTTATTTAAAAATAAGAAGAATTTTTTTTTGTCAATAAATAAAAAAATTTCAAATACAAAATAATAATAATAATTGGTGAAGCTATAAAAAGAACTACTACAAAATATTTAAATTTATAAATGATAATTTCGCAAAAATAATATGTTACAAATATTATAAATTATACTAATATATTTTACGTAATAAAAAAATATAAAGAAAATTTTAGAAAATTTTTTATTTATTAAAAGTCTCGCAACAAGAACCATTAAAGCGTTTTTTTTTTTTCTTTTTTTTTTTTTAAATGGGAAAAATAAACAAAGAACGATTGACAATAAGTTGAAAACGTCAAAAAAAAAAAAAAAAAAAAAAAAAAAAAACAAAAAACTCACAAAACAAACAAAAAACTTATAAAATATAATAAATAATAATATGTATACCTCAAATTTATTTCGGTTTGTGTTTAACATTTTTTTTTAAATTTTCGTTTGAAACATAAAAAATATTAAAAATTGCTTGCATAACTTATATACAAAAAAAAAAATATATTAAACATGAATTTTCTTTGTTATCATTTTACACTTAAAAGCAGACGATAACTGGTATTTTATTGGTAAGAGGAAGAGAGGAACATCAGGAGTTCAAATGTAGTGTAAGTAATTTCTTTTTTAACTAATACTTATGTTTAAGTGTACATTGAATTGAATCGATTGCTAAATTATTATTTTTTTTTTTTTTTTAATAATTTTATTTTTTCATTTTAATTAGGTTTCTTGAAAAAAAAACAAAGAAGTGCTTAAATCGCTTCGTTTATAAATAAAAATAACTCCTTGTAAATAGTGACATGTTGTGGTTTGATGGCCCTGTCAAAAATGCTGTTGAAAAAGTCAAATCTAATGGTTTCACACTTATTGTATTTGTGCAAGGTAATGCAATTTAAATAGCAGTAATAAATAAAAATTGACAAATTGATAAAATTAAAAAAAACAAACATTTAAAAAAAAAAAAAAATTTTTTTATTTATTTATTTTAGGAAATGATGATCTGTCACATAAATATGAGTTATTTTTGAATAAAACAAAATTATCCGAAGATTACGGTTATACAGCCCTTAAAATTGCTAAAAATTCAGTTGCCTTTCGTCATTTCAAACAAATATGTATCTTTTTATAAATTATGATTTTTCAGCCATATGTTTTAAAAATGCATGATTATTCTTAACATTATATTTTGATAGATGTTAATGTTCCGATACCATCAATTTTTCTAATCGGAAATGATGGTATACCTATAAAAGTTATATCATCGAAAAGAATTTCAGATGTTTCCCATGCTATTAACAATGCATTCGAAGATCAAAAACTAAAAAATTTAATTTGTAAGAAATTAGAAAGAGAAAATGCACAAAAAAGTCATAAAATAAAGACCAATATTTCAAATAGTAAGTTTTAATTTTTTTTTTTTTTTCGTAAAATTTTATTGAAATTTACAAATCGAGATTTATATATTTAAGTGATAAGTGCACAAAATGTTGTTGGTAAAATAATTTCATAATTATTTATATAGGTTAAAAATAATCTGGGAAAAAATTTTTTTTATTAATTTCTTTATTATTATTTATATATTTAGGTGCCCAAGGAGCCATTCCAAAATCTACGGATAATAAAAACACAGGTAAAAATATTTTTTATCATATATACATTTAATTTCGATGAAAGACAATAAAAAAACTTTTTTTCCCAAAATTTTAGGGTTGCATTCTGATATAAATGAAGAAATAAAAAAAAAAATAAATGAAATTCGTTCATTCCCTAGATTTTATCTTTTAAACAATCCTATTATTTTAGATGATTCCTTAAATCGATCCCCCGTTATTCATAAAACTTATTCAGGCAAGCTTGCTCCATTAAGCATGCGGAAAAAATTATTTTACTTTTGATGATAGAATAAAAAATTTTTTTTTATTTTTATTTTTATAGCTCGATTACAATTTCGCCTGCCACACAGTAATGAAGTGCCTTCTTGGGAATTCCCAGATTTATCCACTTTGGGTGATATAAAAGCTTACTTATCGGAAAAAATAAAACTTTCGACAAATTTTAAACTTTTAAGAGCTTTTCCAAGAACTACTTTCACTACTGAGGATGAAACAAAAACTTTAGTCGATTTATCTCTGACTCCTAATGCAACATTAATCGTCATTCCTGTAAGTGAATTTAATACGATTTTATTTTCATTCATATAACTAAATTATTTAATAATTTTGATTTATTTATTTATTTATTTATTTTTTTTTGTTATTTCAGATTCAAGATAAAACAGTACAAACAAGAATAAAAAAAATTATAACAAATCCAAATCTTATTGCAGTTGTTATGCAAGCAATTTTGCAACCTTTTATAATGGCACTAAATTATTTTAAAAAATATGTATTGAAAATTGAAGGGAATACTAATAATACCAGAAAATCGTTAAAATTTCCCAGCGATACCAACATTGAAAAAAAGTAATAATTTTTTTAATATAAATTTATAAGATCAGTCATTCGTTTTTATATTTATATATATATTGCATTTAAAATTATTCACACTTTTTTATTTATAGATTTAATAAGAAAACTTCAACTAGTAATTTTCACGAATTTAAATTTGATGAAGATTCTGATAATGACAGGGATTATCCTGACAATGGAAATTCAACACAACAAAGATATGAAAAATAAAATGTTTTAAATAAAAAAAGATTTTTAATTATTTTTTTGACTTATTTTTCTATAAATAGGTAAATTTAAAAACCTAACATTATACAAATATACATCGTTACATTGAATTACAAAAAAAAAAAAATAATAATAATAATAATAATCGAACTTAAAGTTTTAAAATAACAAAGTATATAATTTCATTTTTTTTCTTCAATGTTTAAAAAAAAAAAGAAATAATTTTTGTTCGTATTAAGTAGAAAAAAAAAAAAAATACCAATTTAATATCAATAACAATGAAAAATAATCAAATAAATGAATGATTTTCATAAGAAAATATAAAAATATTTTTTATTAATTTATTTTAAAAAAAATTTACATTTAAGCATTTTATTTTAATAAAATAATGCGTTAATGGGAAAAAAAAATTTACTTTACAATAACATTTCAATATTTTTAAATATTATTATTATTTCTATGAACTTAAAACTTATTTTAAAAAAATTATAATTTTATTTTTTTACATTAAAAATCTCACTCGCTCTGAGTATTTTAAATGTTTGTGGAAAATAATTTTTTTTTTTTGTTCTTATCGTTTTATATTAAAGCAATTTATAAAAATATTAAATTAAAACAAAAAAAAAAAGAATAAATCGAGTATACCAGGCGGAGAGAGAGAGAGAGAGAGCTACTAAATTAAATTGGCACAGTATATAATAAAAATTGTTTTATTTGCAAAAAAAAAAAATGTTTTCCTTTGAGAAATTACTAATTACGGTTTGTTTTTTTTTTTTTGGAAGTATATTATTTAACAAATCGATCATTATAGCAGACATTATAGCAGACCTATTTAAGTAAAAAAAATTTTTTTTTTTTTCCTTTTTTAAATTTAGTTTAAAAAATGTACAGTAAAATTAATTATAAATAAAAAAAAATTTTGTACTACTCTACTCTATTAAATATTTTTTTTTTTTTTTTGAGGGACGTAATTATAATATTTAATTGAATAATTAAATTGACTAATTCACACATTCACATCACTTACATCATCATGGCCACTAAAACATTTTATTTTTTTTTAAAATTAATTAATTAATTATTAAAATTTAATAAATAATTAGTCCTTATTTTATTTACTTATTTTTGTTCACACTAATTAAAGTCGAATCTTTTTTACGTATTCGCACTCAGTACTTTAAAAAAGTTTTTTTTTTTTTTTTTTTTTTTTATTAAAAATAAGGGGGGGGGGTTGAAAAAAATTAATTGAAATTATTATTATTATTATTATTTTTTACGTTCATTTGTTTGTTCTTTTTTATACTGTTGTATTTTGAATTTTAAACTTGTTTTTTTTTTTTTGTCGAGAAATAATAATAAAATTCACCAGCATTTTAGCTTAAACCTATTTCTCTTCGTTATCAAACCTTGATTTAATTGTTCATTTGAATCCGTAGTATTAAATTTATTATTATTATTATTAATCGGAGGAAAAATTTTACCATCCTCGGGAGAGGGTAAGTATCAGCTCGTTTTTAAAACCGTTTTCAAATCCTCTGGCAATGTACAAATCATGTCCTCTAACCGAGCCCTTAAATTAAAAATTACGGATTCAATAAGTATTTTTTTTTAATACCTGCAAACATAAAAAAAAGGATATAAGTGCGTTACCTTAATTGTTCCTTGGTGCCTGAATTTATAGGAAGATCACTGTGTTGCAATTTACTTCTAATTTTTAATATCATGTCTACGATTTCTACTTCTTTTTTATCTCTAACCCATTCGGTTAAATCCTGTTAAAAATTGTACGTGTTATTATCATTATCTGCTCATTTAAAAAAAAAAAGGAAAAATTTAATAATAATAATAATGATTTTTAAATAACTCACGGCATCACATAAAGCTTCTAATTGAAGAGCACGAAGTTTTTTACTCAAGTGTTGATACCGCGTATTGTACCATCCTGAAAAATTGGGAGATTTAAAAAATCTTCTATAAAGTCCAGGCCAATCCCCTTTGACTCCGGACGTGAGTTGAGGACCCATTGTTTCAAGAGTTGCCAAAAAATCATCAGGATTGAATGGCCGAGGTACTGGAGCTGCCTTTAAGTAAATAAATTTCCGATATAAAATAAACAAAAATGACGATTTAAAATTTATTGAGTGATAATTATTACCTTATAAGGAGATATATTTTTTTGTAAAGGCATACAAGATGCCATGTATCGCTCTAACGGAATCATAAAACTTTGTGTTAATTCTAAAAGATGCCTTTTGAGTAAAGCTGTCTGAACTTCTCCTGGCCTTTTAGCCTGGACGCCTTTAAGAATTTTAGATAGCATTGCTTTGTCCTTTTTAAGAAATGGCCTGTAATGCGTATAAACTCCCGGCTTCGAATCCAACATTTTTATGTTTGTCCCCTTTTTTAATTTGTTCTGCTTAAAATTACTTTGATAACTTTCCGATGTTTTAATTATGTGTGGCCAATGTTGCAATGTTTTAACAAAAAAAGGATTTGTAACTCCCAGTATCACCGGTGGAGGAAGGTGAGTTTTTGTAGTGTATTCTTTAAATTCATTGTCATGAATTGTAAAATAAGGCCTATAATCTGAGCAAAAATTGAGAGGAGCTATGGTGCTGAAATAAAAAAATATTTTATCATTAAACCAAATGTATTTTAACTTTTAAAAAAAATTTAAGAAATTAAAGTTTACCTTATAAGTGCTTGAACCATATCGGAACATGTTTGAGGCTGTGATGACATAACAACAAGAGGTTCTGCAACTAATACCAATTCCCAAAGTAAATGTATATGAGGAAGTAAAGAGGAAAAGCATTTAAATAAATCAACATCATATACTGATGTTAATATCGTGTTAGAAAAGGAAGGCAAAATTGGACTGCTAACGTTGGCAACTGGAGTAGTACTTTCAGAAGATTTTCCTTGTTGACAAGGAATAAAAACCTAAAAAAATATTTACATACAACAATAAGTAATAATCAGTAACAGCAACAATGACTACATTATATTAAGGCATTGTATAATGATTTTGTTTAATTTTACCTGAATAGCTGTTCCTATTAGTGGTAATGTTACTGTTTTTCCAGGTACAGGAGGAGGCCATTGATTAATGTCATGACAAGCAGCTTCTAAGCTCAGTTCTCCGTGATCAAAAAATTCAGGAGCTATGATGGCAATTACTTCACTAAATAATGTGATAAAGGGAAGCCTTGTTATAATAACTACACTCTAAAATAAAATCAAACAATGAAAATAAACATATTAAAAATTTAATAAATAACTTTTCTTTAGCAAACCTTTTGAAAATAATCTCTAGGCAAGTTTTTATCTTTAACTTGCCTAAAGAAAACAAAACCGTAAAAGTACGAAGAAGAAATTTGAAGTGTTGACAGGCAATTTTCATTATAGATTTGATGAGCAGCGGTCAATCCTTGATGATCAGGTAAAAAACTTGATCTAAACCTAAAGTGAAATTTTGTGTCACCCATACAGCCAGAATTGGAATCAGGAAAAGCCAAATAACAAATACTAGTTTTGTCTTGATCAGACATTGTTGTTTGTGATGGATATATCATCTGAAAAATTTTTTTAAATAATAGAAATTTTAAATTGGTATAATTAAAATTAATTTTTAAGATTAAGATTAAGTAACTTGTAAATTTTTTTTTGTTAAATTTAAAAAATTTCGATTGATAATTTAAATAAAATTAGAATAAAGATGACGAGTACAAATTTCTTCTAAAACATATAAATTATAATTCTTATCTTATTGTAATGCTTTAAAAACTGCACATTTCTTTGTACATCTTATCTCTTTGTTAGTTTCTATAATAAGACTGAAAAACTTTCAATATGTTTCGATATTTCTTTTTTTTTTAATAAAAATTATCAGAAATAATAAATTAATTATTTATTAATTATTTAAAAATTTATACAAATAAAACGATTCAAAAATTATGTTTTCAAGCAATTAAAAAAAAAAAGAGAAATTACAATTAAAAAAGTGAACATCCTTATGTTAATAACATAAGTATAATATCAATACAATGAATTTAACTATAAATTTAGTACAACTACAAAGTTAAATATTTCAAATGTAATGTGTTTAAAATATATGATGAATTTTATAATAAAAATATTTGAAATAAAAAATTAAATAATCACAGAAATCTAAACAATACTTACTTCTAAAGCTTGTCCTAACTCTAAATCGAATGTTACTACACAAATGCAATGAATCCAGGATTTGAAACGATCCCATGTTGTTTTAGTAGTATTAAAATTTTGACATTGATCACCCATGACTGAAAAATTTCATTAAGAATTAAATTTATGGCCTGTATTTTTTTGGCCAATTTATCACAAAAACATTTTTGAACGTTTTCAACTAGGACGTATGTTTAAGATTATTAATTTTGTTTTTTAAAATATGTTTATAAAAAGTGTATAAATTCCATTTATTCATGATTTAAAAAAAATAAAAAAAAAATTAAGGAATCACAATATATTTTACACGCAATTTGGTTAGTACAAATTAAAAATTTAAAATATCAGTTCAATCAACTAAATTGTCGTGGCAATAGAATGTTTTTATTCATAGAGAAAATTGCTGTTAGGAATACTGTACCGTTGTGATTGCCGTTGAAGCATTCAAAAATTAAATTTTACTAAAGAAATTTAACTTAGTATTATTAAAATATTGTTTTTAGGATTTTTAATCATCATCAAAAACTAAAGCACTTGAATATTAAAAAATGAAAAATAATTGGTGAGATACTTTTCTTTTTTATTTTAAAACTTAAAATACTCACTTAATTTGACAGTGTACTTTTTAACGCTTAAAGAATAATTTTTAAAAATTTTAAAATGGTGATTATGAAATTAATAGCATGCATACGTTTTTATTTAATATATACGTTTACATTTGCTTATTAATAAATAACTTTTTACAAACTACTAAAGTTTTAATTTGAAATGCATAATTCATAACTTAGATTTCCGTTTATTTGATAAATTTTTGGAAAAAGTGTGGCTCAAGATAACGAAATTTGTCTTATGTAAAAAGATAATTTTTTAAATTAAAATGTCTAATTTATTAATGACTGATTTTGCTTTTAATTCACTTTCAAAGATACTTCCATTTTTTCAAAATCATAATTGTAAGTTAAAGTAGTAGTTAAATAATTATATTTTTGTATTTAAAACTTTTTTCAAATGTAAGATTTCAAATGAATTCTTCTAAAGTCTAAATAATTATCTATTGTTAAATCGGTTATTATTATTTTGTTAAAGAAAAAAAACCAGTTTAGACAAAATAGCCCTGCTATGACATATACTTAAACTTTTTCAATCATAAATCATAAAATCATAATCGATTTATATTCATAAAATCCTTGTGTTACATAAAATTTTATTGATGTACAATATTACAATTAATTTTTCAATTATCTTTGTAAATTGTTTGTATTTGTGTAGCTTTGAGTAACTTCAAATAACTTAAGCTATTCAATCTGAATTAGATGTTGATGACATCAGTATCCCAAAACTATTAATGAAATATCTTTTTCAGTACATCACTCAAATTTATTTTAAACGATAATAAAATGTTCTTAAAATTATGTTTAAATAAAAATTTAAAAACCTTTATATTAAAATATAATTTTATTTTTCAGTTAGATCCTTAACTTTTAATATTAATTAAAATGGAATTACAAAAATGCTCGATAGTTTCCGTAATTAATCCTGGAAAATACATTATTTTAAACGAAGAAGAGGAACATTGCTCGAATATAAAATCATTGGAAAAATCACTTACAGCAGACTTAAGATGTGGATATTTTAATGAATTCGATTCTAATTTAAGTGCCAATCAGGTATTTTAAAATTAATTAATTAATAAATATTGATCAAGAATGTTTTTGTATTGAAAAAAAAAGTCAATATAAATAGACTTTTTATAAAAAAAATGCTTTTTAATTTTTAAAATTTTAAAATTACTGTTTACATTACATTATAATTTAATAAGCTAAAGTGTACAATAATTTTTTAAAATATAATTTGTCTTAAAAAAAAAGCAAATTAATAAAAAAGTTTGAATTTTTTTTTTGCCACCTTAAATTTTAATAAGTTTTAGCATAAATTTCTAATTAAATATATTTAATATTTTAGTGGGTAGCGGTAAAAGTTGATGAAACCAATACCGGTTACAAAAGAGGAAGGATTTTAAATGAAATTAAAAAAGATAAATTATATGAAATTTTATTGGTGGACTATGGCGAAATCATTCACGTGGAAAAATCGGATTTCACTAATATTATAAGTAAAACTTATACAGATATAGAACCATTATCATTTACAATAACACTTTATGGATTGTTACCAGTCACAACTTTAACAATAAATGGAAACGTTAAAGAAAAGTACTTTTAATTTTTTCTAAACAATGTTTTTATTATTATTATTATTGTATTTTTTTTTACACAAGCAGCGTGATGCATTTGGAAAAGTTTTGTAGCTCTGTCTATTTCTAAAGTCTAATAATTTCTTCAACAATCTTGCTCATGATAATTTTTTTTTAAAAAACATATGATAAATCACGATGGGGCCTTAAAAGGTATTAATTATCTAGCCAAATATTATGTATATCAAACGTCCATTTTGATTCCTTGGAACATATATAAATTTGTTCTTTTAATTATTTATCAAGTTCGTCAATAGTTATTAAATTGAAACAAATCTAGAAAAATTTTAGGTTTATGAGAAAAAGTTTTCTTGTGTTTTTTTCTTTAGAGAAGATTTCAAATGATTGTTTTTATTAATATTATCATAAAAATAATGGATTACTTTTAGAGTTTGTGAAAATTGGTCGGAAAAATCAAAAAATTTCATAAAAAACTTAATAAAAAAAAATTTCAAGATATTGTTTAAAACTATTCTTGTGAAAGACAAAATGGTGTACGGTGAGATTATAATAAATGAACATTATTCATTAAGAAAATTACTATTGTTTGAAAAGTATTGTGTTTATTCGCCAAATTATTTTTTAAAAAAAGGTAAATATAATAATAAATTTAAAAATTATAATAGCAAATATGATTCAAAACTTTCATTTATTGATTAATAATTTTTTAGAATTTTCTCTACTTTCATTCAGTGGTACAAAAAGTATAAGACAAGGAAAACAAGAACAAGTTGAAGAAAATTTACGTACGTTTCAGTCCAGTGATCAAAAAAATATAATATCGAAAGAATCGAGCAGTCATTTAAAAAAAAATGAAAACATTTTAAATTTTCAAATGATGAAAACTTAAATCGAAGGAAAATGTAAAAGTAGAAGAAGTTTTGCCTAATAGAAATTTAATTGCAAAATTTTTGTCTTGTAGAAGAAATTCAACGTTACTCACCAACAGTAACAAAGGTAGATTTCTTTCTCGTAATTTTTTCTTCTTATTTTTTGATAGCCTGTGATTTTGATTATAAAATGATTATAAAAATTTCAGGAGAAAATACTAATTCAGAATCTACTTTTACAATCAATAAATTAATCGGCAACGATAAAATAAAAAAAAATGAAAATGATGGTGATGGAAATAATAAACATTTATTACAATTTCAAAATGAAAAGTTTCTGGAAGATGAAAGTAATAATTTATCAGTATTATCAAGTAGTATTGATTTAAAATGTGAAAAAAATACAAATATCATTAATAATGATGATACTTTTAACGATAAATATTCAGAAAAAAATAATTTCGATAATCCTAATCTAGATGAAATTTTTTTAATAAGAAATCCTATGATTCGGTATGATTGAAATATGCATTCAATTAATAATAGTTTGTAACTAAATTTGATATTATTATCTAATTACATAACTTCTGAATCAAAAAAAAAGAAAAACAGGCACGTAAATATTTATTATTAATTAATTAATAATTATTTTTATCGTTTTTAGTTTACAATCCGATGCATCAGTGGCTTTGAAAACAAAAACAAATCAATCAAATAAAGAAGAATCGCTTAAAATTTTACCTTATTATGAAAATAATTTTAATTATTTTCGTCCCTTTGTTTTATTCAAAGATTTTGTTTTTGAACCGAAGACAAAATTTAAAGATTTAAATATACGTAATGAAATATTAACCGTATGTAATTTTACTCCGAATTATTTAATTGATTAGCTTATAATTATTTTTCTAAAGTTAATTTTTTTCTTTTATATAACAAATTAGAATTTGATGAATTGTGGAAGATTTGAAAATCTCAGTCCTCTACAGCAATGGGCCATTCCTGCTATGAGTTTTCAACAAAATGTTTTAATTCTGGGAAGTTCAAAAACTGGTAAAACATTAGGATACGTAATATCAGTTATTGATGTAGTGAAAAAAAAATGCGCCGAAGAGGTAGAGTGGTGCTTGTACTTTCGAAAGGAAATTTTATCAAATTCCTCATATTTTATAAATCAATTTCGTTGTAGGAATCTTTTGGAAATGGTCCTATTGCAGTTATTATTTGTTCGAGTTCTAGAGTTTGCGAATTCGTATATTCAATTTTCAACGCCCTTCTTGGGAAATTTAATAAAAATCCTTCTACGAATAATTTTAATATATCCATCGTGATGGCTTACGGCGGTGGAAACGAAATGGATGTTATGGTAAAAAAATTTTAAAAAATTACAACTTTTAACAAAAATTATTTCTTATATAAGTAAATGCAATGTAAATTTAAATATAAATATTCTATTGTTTTAGGTTAAATTGACAAACGGTTGCCATATTTTAATTTCAACTTCTTATTATATTGTAAGGCTTCTAGAATATTCTATCGTGACAAACTTTGAACGGTTAAAATGTTTAGTTTTGGACGAAATTGATATTATAAGCGAAAAACCATTCAAACAAAATGTAAGTTTTAAAGTAACTTGGGAAATAATAAATTTTTTTGAGAATGAAGATTGAAGAACTACGAACTAATATTATTTAATTTCAGGTACAATTAATCTTGGAAAAAGCTAAGCAAAGTACACAAAATCGTTACTGTCAAAAAATATTTTGCGGTGAAAAATGGACGGAGAATGTGGAAATTTTAGCGAAAAATTATCTTGAAAATTATTTTTTAGTCATTGGATCATATGCGGAAGCTGCAATTTACTCCAAATTGAGACCTAGTATTTATCTCGTTAAAGCTCAGCACAAACCTGAATTCGTAATGGGTGTGTTTTTAAAGTTTTTGTTTGCATTTACTACAAGTCGATGTTGATTTTTCTAAATTGACTCAACGACTCTTAATATTTTAATAATAACAACAATCCTTTATTCTTTCAGATAAAATTCGGGATGAATTAAAAAAAATTTTAATTTTGTGTGAAAGCACAGACGAAGCGCTAGACGTACATAATTATTTAAAAAATAAAAATATTAACTCGAGTGTAGCTCATGAAAAAATGCTCTCATGCCAAATAAGAGGTGATTTAAATTTTTTTAAATGTGCTGACATTTTATTTTAAATTACTTTAAATTAAAATTATTATTATTATTATCGTGTTTAGATATTTGCCACTCGTGGAAAATTTGCGACGGTCAATTTGTTATTGTGGCCACGGATGATGTCGTTAACGAGCTAAAAATCAATGATGTCGATATGCTTATTCATTACAGCTTAACGGTCAAATCGAAAACAAATTTTTTTTTTCGCTATTCAATTATTTTAAATAATAATTTATCTACAGCTAACAATCATCAGACTCTGGTTGTTTATGTTTTTTTATTTATTTTTCCTTAACTTCCTTTTTTTTTTTTGATGAACGTTTCATTCACAGAAATGTACGTTATTCTAGTTTTTATATATATTTTATAATATAAATATATTTTAGGAGGTTTCCAAAAAAGTAACAACATCGGATATAATTATTTTGGATGAAAATAATGGCCGCCAAATTCCACAAATAGTTGATTTCGTCGTTCGTTTAAATGGGAATGTGCCCGATGTTATTCGGGAAAAGTGTAAAGTAAGGTCCTCTTTCCAACAAAAAAATTGTACCTTAATAATTTTTATGAAAATTTAATTAATGTGATTTTCTTATCATCATTCTATAGGAAATCGAAAGAAAATTGGAAGTATCTAAGGAAGCTCGAATATGTGAAAAACTTTTGACTTTAGGAAAATGCATAAATATGAAAAGCTGTTGTAAACGTCATGCTTTGGTCAACGATATAGATTCTTCTAGTCAACTCCCTTCGAGTGGTTGGATAAATTTTTCTGTTTTAAAAGTACATAATCCCACAAGTTTCTCAATTGCAATTTCAGAACATTTGGATTTAAAGGGAAATAAAACGACAATAAATCACGATCCGCTGATAAATGAGAAATTAAATGATTATTTCCAATTAGATGAAAATAGGTTTTTATTATTTTTATATTATCATATTTAATTGATAATTAATTGAAAGAACTGATTTTTTTTACAAATTTTTTTTTTTCTTTCAGAAAAAGTCTCGGTTCTCCAAAAATCGGAGACATTTGCGCTATTAAATCATTCGTATTGAATAAAGAGGTTTTTTACAGGGCCGAAATAAGAGATTATATTAAAGTCAATAAACATAATCAACCATTGATAGTAAATGTTAGACTCTTGGACGAGGGAGATTACGTACAACTAACGGTATAGAGCAAATAAAAACTTGGAAAAAAAAATATTTGTCGTAGCAAAAAAAAAAAAAAAAAAATTTTATTTTCAGGCCAAAGAATTATTAGAGATACCTTATGAAATTGCTAAAATACCCTCCACGGCGATTGAAGTTAAAATTGTGGGGATTCAACCTTTAGGTTACGATCAGACCTGGAGCAAATTTGCTACAAATTACGCCAAAGGATTGTTAACTAAAAATTACGAAAAGGATTTATCGTGGCGCGGAAAAATAATCATAGCAATGAAGGATACTTTATTTTTAGACTGCGTTTTGCTGACGAGAGCTTTACATAATGTAAAAACAAATTCCGTTGATTTAATTTATCAAGAAAACCTTATTCAAAATGGTTACGCTGTTAAAAATGCCGAACATTTTTCTCGTTTAAAAAAACTTTGTATCGAAGGAGGGATTTCCGTTTTTACACCAAATGGTAAATCCTTAACCTTAAATTTTTGAGGTTTTTATTTTTGTGTCCTATTGCGAAATTTTTTTTTTTAGAAAATAAAAATGACTTGTTATCAAAGGAAAAATTTGATTGTTGCGAACCCGATTGGGCATTTCTTAGCGAAAACGTGGAAAAAGTTTGCTTTTTGTCGGGACATGATGCATCAACGTTTTTTTTACGTCTCGAAAAATTTTCGAAATTGTAAGTTTAGAATAATTGTTTACGATTAAATTAATATCAAAATGGTGTAAATATATATATTATTTCAATACTAGATTAGAAGATTTAGAAAAAGCTTGCGAGAAAGAAGCGGGGGAAAAAAATAAGAAAAATTTAGACAAAAATGATTTGTCACCCGGAATGTTTTGCCTTGCTAAATTCAACAACGAAAGGTAAATTTTATTATTATTATTATTATTATTATTATTTTTTTCTAATGAAATTTTTTTAACGTGATTTTTATTATTGCTTTCCATTTTTTTTTTTTTTTCAATTTAGATGGGTCAGAGGAAGAATAGATTCAAAAGAAAATGACTTTTACAATATTTATTTAATTGATCATGGAAAATTTTCAATCGTAAATAAATTTGACGTGACAACAATATCTTGTCATTTGATTCGTCAGTTACCGTGTCAAGTTCGTGATTGATTGATTGATTGATTGATTTATTAATAAATTTAATTTTTTTTAATTCGTTAAAAATAAACGTTTCCGATTTATTTATTTTCAGGCAATAGAATTTAATTTCATCGGAGTCAAAATTCACGAAAATAATAATTTAACGGAAATTTCACGGGAAATGGATAAATTTTTCGATAATGAAAATAATTTTATTTATTGTTACGGAATAGAAAAAAATTTAAAATCAAAAATAACCGGTGGAAAAAAATACGGTTGTAATTTATTGAATGGCATAAATGGGAAATCGTTAAACAAATATTTGATCGATATCAAAATGGGTTCGATGGTTGAATGCGAAAAAGAATTTCTTATTAATATCGAATCGAAAATTTTAAAGGGAAAAGACGACGAAAAAAATTTTTTCGAAAACGAAGAGGAGGAGGAAAAAAATAAAGAGTCGGAAAATTTAACGAGTGATTATTCAACGTGTGAAAACGAATCGAATTCGTTTTCTTCTTCTTTTTTATCCGACGAATTATTATTTGAAAACGAAAATGAAATTCAGTTTCTCAAAGAGGTGATTGTAATTTTTTTTTTTTGTGATTTAAAATTATTTAATTTGTGCGATGCGTTCATCGTTTTTATTTATTTTTAGTTTGCTACTAACGTTCTCGATATACCGATGGAAAAATTGGCGGACGAGTCTTTGAAAACAAATGAAAATGGGAAGGAAGAAAATATGGATTCGAAGGAAAGTCAAACGGAAAAAATAATTTTAGAAAGTCGTACGAAAAAACCGGAAGTAATGATTCGTGATAAAATATTGACTCCGCAAATACGATGGAGTCAAAATTCGTTTTCGATTAATATTAAAATATTAATTAATAATATTGAAAAATACAAATGCGATTGTTCCGTCACTAATTTTTTATTCAGGTTTTCACAATTTATTTATTTATTTATTTTTTTTGTAATTATCATAATCTAAGAAAGTAATTTATAAAATTCGATTAATCGTTACGAAGGTGCGAGGTCGATGGGAAATATTATGCCGTCGATATTAAATTTAACGGAGTCGTTAATCCGCAAACTACTAAAATCACGTTGAAAACATTTTACGCAAACATAAACATAAGAAAATTAAATTCGATGCTTTGGTCCAGACTTACAAGAGATGATGGAAAAAATCATTTTGTTTTAAGAGATTCCGAAGTTGAGGAAAAAAAAGATGATATAATATCATTGGCGATAGAATCAGGTGAGGAAGAAGAAAAAAAAAATGAAAATGAAAATGAAAATTCAGTCTTCGGATTCGATTTAACTTTTTAATAATTTTAAAAAAAAAAAATTTGTTTTCAAGCCAAAAAAAATATAGAAAGTGGAATATTGAAAGAAGGGATTCGATTGAAAACCATTGTTTCGTACACCGATTCAGATTCGTCTGATTTTGACGATGGTTTTATGGATTCGGGAGACGAATTCAACGTTTAAAATCAACCGCTTTCGTTCAATATAAAATGAATGATGGGTTTAATGGTTTTCATCTCATCACGGAATTATAAAAAAAAAATTGAGCTTCAATGAACGTTTACGAGAGTATTTAATGTAATTATTATTATTATTTTTTTAAATTAATTTTATTTACACACGCACAAAAAACAAAAAAAAAAATTTTCAATTTACTTTTTTTTCATTTGACACTCGTAAAATTTTTAATTCTCGACGAAAATTCTAACGGTGATCGCGATGATGTTTTCAAAGCTTTCAATTCTCTTTCGCGTGTTTCATTATCATTAACAAATTTCTTATTGTTATTATTATTATTATTAATAATACTAAAATTATTAGTAGCAGCAGTAGTAGCAGTATTATTATTATTATTATTAATTTTAACGATTAATCCAGGTAGTTTATATTCTGAATGTTTTTGTTTTGTTATATTTTTATAATCTGTTACATTGGAAATTCCCCTTTTTCTCGAGTTAAATTTTTCCGTTTCATTATTATAATTATTATTATTATTATTATTACTATTGTCTTTCGGATATTTTTCTGTCGAAAAATAATTAATTTCATTTTTTTTATCATTATCTTTATATTGATTGTTGGATGAAAAACCTAAGATAACATCAGATATGGGAACTTTAAGTGAGGAATCTGTTTTTTTGAATTTTTTATCCCGGTCATCATCATCATCATCATCATCATTGCCATCTTGATGATGTTTGATGATGTTGTTGTTGGAATGATCTAATTTTTGTACGACAACTTTCGGATAAGGAACTTTATGACCGTGAGGTTTAAATCTAATTACGGGACTCTCTTCGGAATATTTTTCTCCTTCTTGCTCTTCTTCTAATATGTGGTGTTCTAGTGCGTCAGCAAAGTGATGGTGATCGTGGTGAAAATAATATTCATCGTCATCGATGACGTGTTCATCGTCATCTTCCCAATAAATTGTTTCGTTAGGCGGTGGTTCGGAATACAGATAAGATATCGGCCAGTATATAGGAAAATCGTATTCGTCATCTCTGAAAAATTATTATTATTATTATTTTTAACTTTTTACTATAATAACAAAAATTTTAAAAAATTTATTAAATCAATTTGATGCATCCGGTTAAGTTAATGAATAATTTTATGGTTTTTATTTTATTTTTTTTTTTGTTTTTATTCAAATTGTTACTACAAATTTTACTACTTGATGTGAATGACTAATTAAGCAAATTTACTAATTGCGTTTTTTTTGTTTTGTTTTTTTTTTTAGTTTGGCTAAGCCGTAAAAACACAAAGACAGTTAAATATTACGGTTGAGTTAATTTTTATATTGGTCCGGTACGATATCCGTAATAATTAGAATTGAGTTAAACGATCCTAAATCTACTTTACCCAGAAATCCAAGGCCTCGTGTCTGAATGAGGTTCGAAGGAATGAGCAGGATGTGGAATATAACCCTGAGCCGGTTTGTTTTCAAACCGGTTATCGAACTCCGGGTAATATTGCTCACTGCAAGGTCTCCACTGCTGTGGCCCGGCTTCCCCTACGTAACACCTTTACATACGGATTTTTAATGAATGTTTTAATTGTATTGGTTAGTGTATACCTGTGTGTTTTTGAAAATGATTTATTTTACGTACCAAGGGTAGTTATAACCTCTTGAATAACCGCAAGCGTGTTTTGGTCTGCAGCAATAATCCCATTGGCTACAATAAATTAAATTATTCAATCAACATTCGTCGATTAAAAAAAAAAAGTGCGTCTCTCCATTGAAAAACTTACTCGGCGGTTCCTCCTTCAACTGGACACGACCAAAAACCTCCCAACGGATTCAACGTACATTCAGTACCTATTTTACACGGCCAACCACTTACCGTAAAATGTCTCCAGGTGTCACCCACGCTCCATAATTCTGAAACCGACAAAAAAAAAAAGAAAATTTGAAATTTCTAACGAGGTAAAAAAAAAAATTTTTTTATTTTTATTTTTAAATTTTATTTATTACCGTTCGGCTTGCCATGCGATAAACCGTTGAATTCAGGATAACCTTTTAACGGTGGTCCGGGTCCTATATACGAAGTACCAACATCTAATTCACAACCGTGACCGAAACTTCCTCTTTCGTAAATTTCATGATTTGGAGAAAATAAAAAATCTTCGAGAGAGAAAGCAGTTACGGGCCAATCGGATAGGAAACAATTTTCATTTGATTCACCAATAACTCTTGATCCGTGTCTAAAACTAAAAGTCCTACAGGTGAAATATCCAGAGTTTAAACAAGCTAATTCGCACTCCGATATTCCTTGAACCCATAGACTTTTTGCTATTTTATTAGTATCCATTTTTCGATTGCTGGCCACTTTGAGAAAGCATTCTGCAGGAATAAATCAAAAATTTTTAAAGGAGGTTGCAGTTTTAATCCGTTAATGCGTCACGTGAAAAAATTATAAATTTTACCCGCGCTACTGATTCTTTCAACATTCAAGCAGGAACTCATTTTAAAATAAACGTCGCAGCTTCTATCGGGAAAAAGATCTGATTCTAATGTTAAAGAACTAAAATCCGTTAATAGACAGTTGGGAGGCGCACCTCCACTTCCTGTGGAATATCTAAAGCTATATCCGGTGCATTTAAATGAAGAACTTGTGCACATAGCTTCGCATTCTAGAACCGAGGGTGCGTCAAACATTTTTTTAATTGATGTGGAATCCAATCTGTAACCTGGATGTGCTCTTTGGAAACAAACTGAAAATTGATAAATAATCGAACAAATTATTCAGTTGCTCATAATTTTTCTGATGTCATTGTTATGAAATCGTAAATACTTACCTTCATTTTCAATTACGTGAAAACCGTCGTTAAATTTTCGAGAAGAACCAAATACTCTGTGCGTCGAGTAATCGTTTGGTACATAGTAATTTGGCTGTAATTGAGTTTGAGGATAGTTACCATAAGAAGATGGAGGTCTGGATGGTAATTCTTGGGGTCTTGTTGAATATACATGTGGCCTGATTGTAGTATCCTTAATTGGAGGAGATAAATTGTTTGATTTTGAAGGCAAGGGTGGTGTTGAAGGTGAAGGCCGAGTGTAAATTGGTTGAGGTCCTAGTGTACTCTGTGGTGGTGAATTATTAGAAATCGTAGGGGAATATTGTGATGGCGTTGAAAAATTGTTCGGGTTTCTTAATGAATTTGATGGTGTTGAAGGAAAATTAAAAGATGCCGTGTTTTGTTCCTTGGGTGATAGGTTATGAATTTTAGGAGGTAAGTATTTAAAATTTTGGGTTGAAGTTTTATAATTGTTGGGATTTTTTTCACGATTTCGATCATTAACATCTGCATCTATAATTATATATGTTGGAACTTTACCAGAATTTCTTGAATCGTACCCGTTTCTTCTAAATCCACCAGTGATTTCTCCGTAGGTGCCAAACCCATTTCCATAATTACTAGAACTTCCTATTGAAACACCACCATAAACACCAAAATTTCGATTAGGACCTTCGAAATTATTAGGGCCATTTCCTGAACCGCCTGTTCCTCCGTAAATAACAGGACCTCCTCTGTAGTTAGTAAAACCTCCACCGTAACCACCAGAGCCTCCGTAGTTACCGGGCGTTCCATAAGGATTAGGGATTCCATACCTATTAGAATCTCCTGCATAATAGTTCGGATTCCTATTCGGATCACCTGAGTCTCCTCTGTAACCACCGAAACCTGGACCTCTGTTGTTACCACTGGGATCGCTTGGGTAATTATCTGAGGTTCCGCCTGGACCACCCGGTCCCCTTCGGTAACTATCAGGACCTCGATTTGGACTATCGGGTCCTCTTGGATAATTGTCTGGACCTCTTCTTGAACCTCCCGATCCTCCAGAGTAATTGTCAGGACTTCTGTAGGGGCCCGATCCTCCTGAATAATTATCCGGTCCTCTGTATGGACCCGACCCTCCTCTATAATTACCTGAATCACCGTTAGTGGCGCCAGGACTACCTGGATAATTATCGGGACCTCTGCTACCGCTTGATCCTCCTCCGTAACTGCCCGAACCTCGGTTAATGCCACCAGGCCCACTTGAGTAATTGTCCGGGCCTCCGTTTGGGCCACCTGATCCTCCTCGATAATTATTAGAACCACCTTGATAATTATCTGGACCTCTGTTTGAACCTGATCCTCCTGAGTAAATGTCAGGACCTCTGCTTGGGCCACCCGACCCTCCCCCATAACTACCTGGACCTGTGTTTGGCCCTCCTGGCCCTCCTGAATAATTATCTGGCCCTCTGTACGAGCCATCCGATCCTCCTCCATAATTGCCTGGACCTCTGTTGATGCCACCAGGACCGCCTGGGTAATTTTCTGGACCTCTGATCGGGCCACCCGATCCTCCATAACTGCCTGGATCCCTGTTAGTACCACCAGGACCACTTGGATAATTTCCTGGGCCTCTGATCGGGCCACCCGATCCTCCTGGATAATTTCCAGACCCGCCTTGATAATTATTTGCTCCTCCCCTTGGACCACTCGATCCGCCTCCATAATTATTGGGACCTCCATTAGAACTACTAGGGCCGCCTGGATAATAGTCGGGACCTCTGTTAAGGCCTCCCGGTCCTCCTGGATAATTATCAGGGCCTCTACCAGGACCACTTGATCCTCCTCCATAACTCGAACCTCGGTTAGTGTCACCGGGACCGCCTGAATAATTGTCAGGACCTCTGTTCGACCCTCCTGACCCTCCTGAATAATTATCTGGCCCTCTGTACGGGCCACCCGGTCCTCCTCCATAACTACCGGATCCTCCATTAGTGATACCAGGACCACTCGGGTAATTATTTTGTCCTCTACCTGGTCCGCTTAATCCTCCTTCATAACTACCGGGACCGCCACTAGTGCTCCCAGGACTTCCTCCATAATTAAAGGGACCTCTTCCGTAATTGCTCGGGCCTAAATTGTAACCTACAGAAATTCCTCCATAACCACCTGAACCATCTCCATATCCGTAAGGTCTGCCGTACGGTTTATCGGAATAGAAAAACTCGGGTTGGAAAGATGGTGTTGGTCCTCTAGAAGGATTATTCGAAACATAAAATCCGCTTCCATATCCGTGATCACCCCATGGACCGTAATTTGTTGTTCCAAAACCAGTGCTCCATGGTCCATATGAGTCACCACCATAATACGGTCCACCAAACACTCTTTGATGATTAGGTACTACTTCGTTTCTTCCTACAAATTTGAAAAAAAAAATAAATTATCATTTATTTACGAAAACAATTTAAAAGTTTTTTAAATAAATAAAATATTAACCTATATTATGATAAAGTAATCCACAATTAGGAGAATCGATACCATATAAACGTTCATAATAAGCAAATTCTGGATCGTAAACAAAATCTCCATATTGATCTAAATTTCCAACGGTAAAAGATGATAATTCGCATATTCCTCTTCCAACTCCTTCCAGATCCAACCTTTAAATTCGAAAAGAAAAAACCGTGTGTGTGAGTTGTTTTCGACATTAAAATTTTTACGTAACTTTGTCGAAAAAAAAAAAAATTACCTAATATTAAATCCTTGACAATCGAAACGTTTTTCAATAGAACATTGATGTTGACAAGCTTCTAAACTATTACAAGGAAGAGAATGACGTATAAACCTTTCGTGTAACCTTTTACCGGAAACGACACGACGATAGCAAGCTAAAACGTGTATGAAAAACAAATTCATTTGTCATAATTATTATTATTATTATTTTTTTTTCACATGAAATTTTTTTTTTAACATATACATATTTATTATTATTATTATTATATTTTTACGCATAGATCCGATAACAATGACTGGAAATTTTTTTTTTTTAAAAATGTCATAAAATTTTTATTGTTTAAAAAAAAAAAAATGCTAATAATAATAATAATAATTTCATAATAAAATGTTACCAAACTGTGGAGAAAAAAAGAATTGTTTTTTATTCGCATAAAAATTATCATTATTATTATTTAAAAATCTTTTGTTTATATTATCTCTTCTTCTTCTTTTCCAGAATCAAAATAATAATAATGATGAAAATGGAAACCTTGGAAACTTTTCTATTGGAAGAAGAAAGATTTTTAAGTTTTCGAAAATTGGAAAAACTTTAAAAAAAATTCCAGGAATGATTTTGAAAAGGGGATCGAATAACACACTAAAAACCTGGACACAGGATGTCGTGATAAAAACTGGAGAAAAATTCACGGATAGTAATGATGATAATAATAATAAGGTAAGTAACGTAATAATTATTTTAATTTTTTTTTTCGCGAGTTAATTCTTTTAATCACTTTTAATTATTATTATTAATAATTTTTGTTCGAGATGATGATAATAATAATAATAATAATAATAATAATAGTGATAAAAGAATAATCGTTAATTAATCGTCGTATTAATCGATATAGAAAAAAAAAAAAAAAAACAAACGAACGTGAAAATTTTTTTTTTTTAAACAAACGAACGTCTTACTCTGTTCTAAAATAACGACAGAAGTTCTTCCTTCGATTAATAAAACAACAGAAAAAACGATAAAAAAAAACATAAAAGAAAACATTTTTTTATAAACGAACGAAAAAGAATTTTCCAGAAAAGAAAAAGAAAAGAAAATAATTCACTTAACACATTTCACGTTTTAAAACAAAAAACACATTTTTTTTTTTTTTTTTTTGCAAAAACTACGGAAAATTCGCGTTTTTAATATTGATAATGATGATGAATTTAGCGTTAATTTCGATTTGACGACGTTCGAGTATCGACTGTTGATTTTTTATATTATAATAAAATTTTTATTCTCACTTTTTCACCTCGTCTTAAACGCATAACTGAATCGAATACAATTTTGTTACCTTGGATAAGATACAGTCTGTGATTGTTATGATGCTGTCTTCCTTTTTTTTTTTTACTACTACAATGCAGTTTTTTTTTTGTTTTTGTTTTGTTTTAAATGGACAATCAATTTATTTAATAAGCTAAGCATAAACCGAACGAGTAACTCTCTCTCTCTCTCTCTCTCTCTCTCTCTCTCTCTCTCTCTCTCTTCTACTTTAATAACAACACATAATGGTGGTAATTTATGTAAAAAAAAAAAGTAGGAAGTTGCAAATTCCTACCATTCATAGTTTTATTTTATTTTATTTTATTTTGTTCAAGGATTTTCGCGCGTTTTTTTTAATTTTAAATTTCTTGTTTGCATTCCGATTAATCAGAATCTTCTTCGAAATGAAAAAAAAAAAAAAAAAAAAAAAAACGACAGCAATAAACGGTTACTGATCCTTAGAGATGCTGTTTATAAACGTAAACACACACGCGCGTTAATATATAATTAATAACCGAACGCGAACGGACGTTTTTTTTTTATTTTTATTACGTAATAAATTAATAATTTTTTTTCGGTAATGACAAATGTCATCATTATCATCATCATAACCATAATCATAATAATCATCATCATTGAGTGTTGGCGGTTCTACTTCGGTTATTCTTTCGGTTAAGTAAACATTATTTATCCCTGACACGTTTTCCCGGTTTCGTTTCGGATTTTTTTTCTTTCCTTTTAATAAAATTAATAATAATAATAATAATGATAATTAATAAATAATTTTTTTTATTGTATCGATCCGTTCGCCGGGTGATAATTTTCCGGATGTGTGAGAGAGAGAGAGAGAGAGAAAAAAAAAATTTTTTTTTTACCTTCTTCGTATCCAATCGGTTTTCCGTGTATGCATTCGTGTGTTTTTTCATAAACGGAAAAATTCGGATCGAACCTTCTAGATATTTGTCTATCGGTCGTCAATTCGCATATCCTACTCGCATTTGCCAAAATCCTAAAATTTTATTTATGGATTATTAATTAAAAACATAAACAACAACAACAACAACAGCAGAAACGATAAAAAAAACTCAAACACTTTTTATTTTTTATAAATTTTTTCCCCCTACTTTCATTATTATTATTATTATTTTTACAAACGTAATAATAAAAGTAATAAAGGCGAGAGAGTGAGAGAGAGAGGGAGAGAGAGAGAGGAATAAATAAATAATAACTGTTTATTTGGGTTCCTTCTCCCCTCCTCCCTACGACAGCAATTAATTATTTAAATTATAAAAGATTATTATTATTATTATTATCGGGATTAAAAACGTATTAAGATTAAGGTTTTTAAGAAAGATGATTATTACGTAGGTTTAATTTTTACAAATGCCTCCTTAATCCTTTTTTTTTCTCCCTTCCTCCTCCCCCTCCCGCCTCATCCTCCTTTTTTACCCTTTTTATGAATTGTTTAGAGTTGTAACTACAATTTACGAAACGCCATTTTAAAAAAATTTTTTTTTTCTTTTACTCTCAATTCGAATCGGATTACAATTATTAAAAAAAAAAAATCTATTAAATTACTTTCGCCCTTCCCCCCTCCCCCCAATGATAGTTGATAGGGAAAAAAACAAAAAAAAAGTTTTCACAAACGAAAGATATAGAATCTCTATAAAAATTGTTTTTATTAAAAAGTCAATAAACTATAAAAGAATTTCGAAAGGCATTTTTTTTTTTTTTTGTGTACCTCCTTTAAGTACTCATTAAAAAAAAAGGAACCTGATATATATATAGAGAAACGTATTATTATTACCTAATAAAATAGTAATAAAAAATTTGCTAGAGGAAAATTTGAAATAAAAAAAAAAAAACAAAAAAAAAAAAAAATAGAAAATGATAGAGCATTATCATCATCATTATCATTATTATTGACGAGAACGACAAAAACAACAAAAACAAAAACGGAAGAAGCAGAAAAACAAGAAGAGAAAAAAAAATGACGATGATAATAATAATAAATATTAATAAAATATTGAAAAAATTCAAAATATTAAAAGAGGGAGGAAAGGAGTGCGGGGGGTAGGGTGTGTGGGGAAATCCGATGAAAATATCCGCATAACTCTTTTCTTTTCATTTTTCCTTTATGAAAAACTAATAATAATAATAATAATAATAATATTGGGAATGATTTTTTTTTGCATGCACTATAGGAGGGAAAAAAATTTTTACCTACCCGTAACCGAAAAATGTACATTTATATATTTTACATTGTTCTTCGCAACCTTTTATATTATTTTGTTCTACGATTCTTGTTACCGTGTGTGCAATCAATCTTTCGTTTGTCGATATCCTTAAAAAACAAACTGGAAACAAAACAAAAAAAAATGGAAAATTCTAGAAAGAAAATCTCCGGTTCGGTTTGAATTTTCCATCCACCCTCCCATCGTAGGGGGTACTACCTACAATTTTGTTGCGAAGAAATTTCCATCGTGTGATTAACATCGCTCGATGATGTTACCCTTAACAATGTTGTTGTTGTTGTTATTATTATTATCATAAAGAATAACATTTCACGATTTTTTTTTTATCAATGTTATTTTTATAATAATAATAATAATAATAATAGTAAAAAAAATTTAATACAATTTTTTAATTACTGGGTTGGTTATTCAATACAAAAGTTATGTAAAAAAAAAAAAAAAAAAAAAAGTTCGCACGCACTCGTGCTTGACGAAAAGACACGTTAATTGAATAATAATAATAATAATGATAATAATAATTCGATGATAAGAGAATAAATTTTTACAATAATGTTATCATTGTTCTTATGATGAATCACAAAAAAAATATTTATATTTATATATATATTGTAATTCTTATTAATAACTTAATAAAAACAAAACATATTCACTTTAAACAAACAAACAAACGCAACAACACAACATTTAAATCCGCACGCGGAAAATAAGAAAACGAAAAAAAAAAACACGCGGTTGTCTTGTTTGTAAGAAACCCCGTTTGTTTGGATTCGTCTTAGGTACTCGTGAAAATGAAGATGTTTGAATGTTGTCGACACGGGTGTACCCTCGTAAACGATGCCCGGAGGTCCGGTTTTTCTCTCATTATAATTGGCGAATTATTATTATTATTATTATTATTTTCTTTTTTTTTTTTTTTTTCGCTGTGAGAATTTTACTCAATGCGAAGAAGTTAAAAATTAATCTTGACCAAGGTCGTATAACAGGAATAACCTCGAGTAATTTGCGGTCCTTATCCTACCTACCTACCTACCTAACTATCCGGCCTCCCTACTTCCCCCTACTTCCTTAGAAGACCCCTCCCCCCCTCGTAAGAATTCCCCCCACGATGATACTCGACGTAAAGATTTGTCGTTTATTTTTACGATTTTATTTATAAATATATTATCATTCACTGTTATTATTAATTACTCGACTTTTTTTTTTTTTTAATGTTTTCTCACGTGACGTGACGTAGAAGAAGAAGAACTTTTTTTTTTTATTGTAAATCGGAAAGGAGGGAACGGGGGGAGGGAGAGGGAAAGAGGGAGGGAGAAAAAAAGCACTTTAACTAAAAAAACAAACTCATTTTTTTTTTTTCGTTAATACAAAGTAATTTTTATTAACGTCATGAACGAATACTGTCATCATCATCATCATCATCATTATTATTATTATTATTGTTTAATAGTGAGATCGACCTTAGCTAATGATAATTGTTTAACTCAAAAGAATAAATTATTTTTAATCTCATTAAAAAAAAAAAAAAAAAAATTACCGCTTAATGAGATCGTTAAAAATAATTTTTTTTTATTACTTTTGTAGTGTGTGTGAGTGCGTGTGCATGTGCGCATGTGTGCGTGTGCGTGTGTCGGTACAAAATTTAAATTGTCATGCTAATAAAATCGTTTAATTTTTTTTTTTAAAAATGCTTTTACACCTGATTATTTTTTAATTAGCAAAAAAAAAACTTGTTAAATGATAATAATAATAAATATGTTTTGTCGGTCGATCAAAATAATAAAAATAGTGTAGGAGGAGAGAGAGAGACAGAGAGAGAGAGAGGAAGAAAAAAAATAAAGCGTAACGAGAGAGAGAGAGAGAGAGAGAATTTTAAATGGAACAAATTGCATAAAATTAGTATATTATAGACGAGGTGGAAAAAGAGGCTCGGGAGAAGGGTGAGGAGGAGAAGGGGAGGTGAGGGGGAGGGAAAAATATATATTTAAATTTAACCTGTTAATGTAACCGACCGTTAGCGGTGGTGGCAAAATAGTGTTTAATTATATTCGCGGATGTTTTTTTTATGTCTTAAATGAGTTTGTGTATATACGATCATTGATGTAGCAAGGTTTTTTTTTTTTTTTTATTTAACTTCTTCCTGCAATTTGTGCATGCGCACACGTACGCGCACACACACACTCGCACACACGCACTCGCACACACGTATAAAAAACATTTGACAAAGGAAAATCAAATTTTATACCGTTTGTTTTTCCAAGTCCTTGAAAAAAAAAAAAAAAAAATTAGGTTATGACCCGAGTCGGAAGGTATTTGAGGTTGAAGGTACCTTGATAAAAAGATAACGTTTGATAAAATGTTGGTACGAATGGAGGAGGCGTTACTATTTTCTGTTGGAATAAAAAAGGGATTTCATTTCCGGTTTTTCTTTTTATGAATCCTCTTTTTTTTTTTTTTTTTTTTTTTTAAAAAATGAGGGAAAGTAAAATTAAATTTAAATTTAAATTTTTTTTTTTTTACAAGTTTTGGTTCGTTGAATTGATGATGAATGATTTTGTTGTTGTTGTTGTTGTTGTTGCAGGGTGGGAAGCGAGGGAGGCAGGGGGTGGGAAGGAAAATTTCAATTTCTTTGATCAAACTTTATATATTTTTTGTAACGTTACGGATTATTTACGCTTCCTGGTTATGATAAATTATAAATCAGTGATTTTTTAAAAAATAATTAAAAAAATGATGATAATGATAAAAGTTTCGAAATGGTTTTTCTTTTTTTTCGGAAAAACTAAAAAATTTTCCGGGTCATTTAAAAAAAAAAAAAAAAAATTAAATCGATCGAATCACCTGCAACAATAATTTTTAATTTTTTCTTTTTCAGTTTGTAGCAATCAAGAATGATTTTTTTTTAAAAAACATATTGTGTTTGTTTCACGGTAGAAATAAATATAAAATAAAAATCGGCCATGATTATTATAATTACGTCATCATCATCATCATCATCGTGGTGGTGGTGGTAAAGAAAAAAAATTTTTTTTTTTGCGAATTGGGCATCGTAATAATGGTTAACATGGTTCCTGAGTCTCATCCAAGGATATTCTTATTTTACGTCATTTATTAAATAATCTCTCAGCCGAAACTTTATTAAGAATAATAATAATAATAATAATAATAATAATAATAATAATAATAATAATAATAATAATAATAATAATAATTCAGGTTTTAAAGTTTATTTACTATGAAATAAACAATCATTATTAATTTTTAAAAAACAAACGAAACTAAAAAAAAATTATGTTTTATCATAACGTTTAATTTTTAAATTATTAAAATGAAATGACGTTAATGCTTTTAGGGGGGGGGGAGGGGAAAAGGTACGAAAATTTATAGTTTCATTGTTTAACAATAAATAGTAAACATTAAATCATTTCCTTTTTTTTAAAAAAAAAAAAAAAAAAAAAAAAAACATTTAAACATTAAAAGGCATTAAAAACAAAAAACAATTTGACTTTTAAATATTCGCGAATAAAAATTAAAATTTTTTTTTTTAAACAATTATTTAACATATTTTATATAAATAAGTAACTTCCGGTTAAGGAATAGTTTGAGTAACGTTTGACGTAACAAATTTTATTATAAACGAAAACTACCCCGAGTAACAAAGAAAACAAAACCGGAAACTCACTTTGTAAATTAAACGAAAACTAAAACGTAAATTCGAATAAAAATATTAGGAAGACAACCGGACGACCATCTTGGAGATTTTTGTACCAGGAACGACAAAACAACCGGAAAAAAAAAAAAAATTTTTTTTTCCTTGTTTTGTTTTCTTTTTTTCTTTTCTATTTTCCTTTTTCTTCTTAGTTTCGTTACAAACGAAGAAGAATGTAAATTAAATGGGTGAATTAATGTTTTTATTTTTTTTAAACGGTTTTTACGTTAACAATTTGAATAATTGAGTAAAAGTGTTAAAATTTAAATATTTATCAACAAATAATAACAAAATGGAAAAGTTTTTTTTAAAAAAATAAAGCATAAAACAAAAAATTTTCATCAAATATGATTAAGAAAAACAAGAATCCGCCATATTTGATTTTTAATTTTCATTAGAAATTTAATATGAATGACGACAGTGCTGACATCTATTAAACAAATTATTAATTAATACATTTTCATCAACGGTTAAATTTGAATAGTTTTTCCAAAATAACAATAAGAAAAACTTTTTAATAATTATTTAAATAAATAAATATAAATAAAATGTTTAGTGTGTGTGGTGATAAATAGGGTTTAATTAAAAACGAAATAAAAATAATAATAATTATTATTAATAAATTATTTAAATAAATAAAACGGAAAAGTTGTTTTTTTGTCGGTTAAAATTGTATTTATGAAACGAACTTTTTTTTTTTACGTACCTACCGTTACTTAATCGAATATAATAATAATAATTTTTAGTATAATAAAATATTAAAATGATTTTACGAATAAAATAATAATAATAATAATAATGGATTCAAAAGAAAAGCCACAATTCTCAAAAAAAAAATAATAATGATAATTTTTTATTTTTAAAACTCCCTTTAGTAACATTTTAAAAAAAAATTTTTTTTTTCGTAAAACGATAAATTATAAAGAATAATATAAGTTGAATAAATAATAGAAGAACAAAAAAAAAAAGAGGAGGAGGAGGAAAGGAGAGGATGAAAGAAGAAAGAAAAAAAGAAACCTAAAAAGTTTTTTTTTTTTTTTGTAAATTCATGTAGGTCAAACATTAAAATTCATGGATAAATAATTTTCATTTGGATTTTCCAAACTCTAGAAAAAAAGGGAAAAGGTCGTAGAAATCCGACAGTAGAGTTTGAACACGCAATCAGAAATTTCTAAAAAAAAATAAAAAAAAAATTTTTTTTTTCCATAACGTATTCGTATATCCCACGGTTAATAACGTTTAAAGATAAATTTTTACGTTAGAAAAAAAAAAACAAACGGTTTTTTATTTATTTATTTATTTATTTGTGGTTTTTGTGAAATTTTTCATGTCGGAATAATTTTTTTTTTTTGACTGAAAATTAATATTAAAAAAAAACAAAAATAATAAAAACAACAGAATGTTTTGTTTGAAACTTTTGTGGATTCGTTCAAATATAATTATCATTATTATTTTTTTATTATGTTTTCTCGAAAGGAAAAACAATTATGTTAAATGTGCTAAAAATCCAAGGGATCCACCAATGGTTAACATACCTGGTCAGGGTGTCGTCACTGGAAAAGAAGTTGTCATATCCAGAGCAAAAGCATTTTTATATTTAGGAATTCCATATGCTCAACCTCCTATCGGTGATTTAAGGTAATTTTTAACCTAATAATAATAATAATAAATTTAAATAATAATAATAATATTTTGCAAAAAAAAAAATCGATATGGAAACGATGAGGAAAAGGTGAAGAATTTTAGTTTTTTTTTTTTTTTTATACTATTGTGAACGAGGAATAAATTTTTTTTTTTTGTTTCTGTTGGAAAATTTTCAGATTTGCTCCCCCGAAAACGGAATTACCATCTTGGACGGAAATAAAAAATGCAACGGAATTTTCACCGGCTTGTTTACAAAGTAAAACGCATTTTCAAGAACGGGACAGACTTTTTACTAATTTGATACCGGATATACAATACAGCGAAGATTGCCTTTATTTAAATTTATTTATACCTGATGGTAAGACATTTTATTTTATTTTAACAAAAAAAAAAAAAAAATTATTATAATGAACCGTTATTCGATAAAAAAAAATTCGTTTGGAAAATTTATATGTATGATATTTGCACGAACGAGTTAGAAATGAGGATGGGGGGGCTGTTAAATCGGGGATAACGACGATGATTATTATTACGAACGTGATGGGTGATGGTGGTGATGATGGTGATGATGATGATGATTACGATAACGGTGTTGGAAAAATAAGCAATAATTTTCCACAAAAAAAAAAAAAAAAAAGTGTTACGTATACATGTAAAAATGACTTTCGGTGAGGTCAAGAACACAAAAGAAAAACCTCCTACCGTTTATAAAGAATTTTATTTTTTGCCCTTGAGTTCACAATCAATAAGAGACCTTAAAAGAAAAAAAAAAAATTTTTTGTTTGAAATTATACACATTTCGCCGAATAATTTTCTTCTTATTTTTTTTTTCGGTTATTTTCAAATATATACTGTTATCAAGGTTATGAAATAAAATAGAAATTTCTAGAAAGAGGGATGTTTTGTTTTCGATACATAAATTTGATTCGAAATTATAAATCACATACGAATTCAAAAAGTTTTTTTTTTTTTTTTTGTTTCTATTTATTTTATATATAATTTTATAAGATTTGATGATGGAAGGATGGCGTTAAAAAACCTTTTTCGTGATTTTAAGTAATTAACAACCTTAAGGTTGGAAAATTAAAGTTTTTACACAGCGTTTGTAAAAAACATGTTTATATTAACATTTATTGGACTTTAAATAAAATTCATGACTTAAATAAACGTGATTAAATAAAAAAATAATAATAATTTTAATTTTAGGTTATAAATTAAAAATTATTATTATTACTATTACCGCCTCCGCCGTCGCCTCGTAATCATCATCATCATCATCGTTATTATTAATAATATTATTATTTATCGATAATTTTTTTTATTTTACTACATTTAAAAAAATTTTTTTTTAGGATAAAAAGGTTTTGTTATAAATTCCGACAACATAAAATAAAAATAAAAAGGTCATGGCTAAAAATTTTGTTCATTATTATTATTATTATTATTTTAAATAAAAAATAAATAAAAATAATAATAATAATAATAATAATAATTCGTTGAATTTATTGAGCCAACCACGCAAGGTAAAAAGTTTTAAACACGCATACATTTTTTGTACGTATAAAGTTTTTTTTTTTTGTAACGTTAAAAAAAAAAAAATAATAATAATAATAATATTGGATGTAATAATATACATACGTATAAAAAAAATAAAGAGAGAGAAAGAGAAAGAGGGAGTGAGTGAGAGAGAGAGAGAGATATGGGATATTAAAAGTTAAATATTTCAAAAATTGTTATTGAAATTTTTCGATAATCGATGATTTATTTATTTATTTACTTTTTTTTTTTTTTTAATCTGATATATACGGAATATCAGTTTTTTTTTTTTTAATAAATTTAAATAAATAAATAAAACTTTTATCCCGACCTTTTTTTTTTTTATAAAAAAAATTTTCTTCATCCCGTTTTTTAAACAAAAAAGAAAAAAAATAAGGAATTTGTTTAACAAAAAGCATAATAAGAAAATTACAGGCGTTTGTTTATTTTTTTTTTTTTTTTGCAGGAGCCAAACCTAGCGATGGTTGGCCGGTCATGCTGTGGTTTCATCCCGGTAATTTGAGCAACGGAGCTTCAATATTTTGGGATGGTTCTATATTCGCCATACGTCAAAAAGTAATTTTTTTCCTCTATTTGTTAATTATTTTAAATATTAATTAATAAAATTTTGGGTTTTTTTTTTTTGGCAAATCGTTGTTATTAATCAAATTATGATGTTTAAAAAAAAACCAATTTAAAAATGATTTTTAATATTTTTTTTTACGCTCTAATGATTTTTTTTTTAGATTTTACGTAGTCAATACGTAAATTTAAAACCCATAATTAATAAACAACAAAAACAACAACAAAACACTAATTACATAATGTTTTATTAATTAATTTTTGCTCGAATTATTTTTTTAAATAAAATTGTATATGTTAACGTAACTTTTTAATACTTTTACACATAATAAATGTATCGCGTTTATTTTTTTTTTTACACCTGAAGGAAATTATATCGTTCGTCGTAGTTTTACAAAACAAACAAACAAAAAAAATCAAACGGGGGAAAAAATATATATAAAGAGAGGGGGAGAGAGAGAGAGAGAGAGAGAGAGAGAGATAGCCGGAGGTAACAATTTCTCTTGATTACGACGGGAAAAAAAAAAAATATATACTTTTTTTTTCAATCGGGAGTTATTGTTTGATTATCGATCTACTACTACGTTAAAAAATTAATTTGACTAATTGAATAAGTGATGGTTGAATATTAAATAAAATTTTTTAATTAAAAAAAAAAATTTTTTTTTTTATTATTATTTTCAGTTCGGAAAATAAATTTTACGAGAAAACATGTCGAGGTTGTGATATTAATTTAATTATAACTGTCATTATAGGTAATAGTGGTGACAGCGTCTTATCGTCTTAACGTGTTTGGATTTTTCACAACAAATGATAACGTGGCTCCAGGTAATTTAGGACTTTTAGATCAGGTTGCAGTTTTAGATTGGATTATGAATAAAATATCCGCATTCGGTGGATCGTCGTCGAACGTCGTTCTCTGCGGTCACGGAGCCGGAGGTATGAGCGTGGGTCTTCACATGGTATCACCATTATCAAGGGGAAAATTTCATAAAGCCATTGCCATGAGTTCCAAGGGAATAATAACAAAATCCGTTAAATCCCGTGAAATAATGGAATCGTATAAATACGAATTGGCGGAAATATTTGCATGCGCAACGAAAAGTCCACTTTTGGTATCGTGTTTGAGAAGATTACCAGGAGAATACATATTGGAACACGCATCTAATTTATTAGATTTATTCGGACCCGTCATTGATGTCGATTATGCAAATAATTCAAAATCTTTCCTTCCGGACGATCCGGAAAATCTATTGAAAAATGGAGAATTCGTTAATGTTCCATTGCTTTTGGGGTACTCGCAAATGGAAGATGCGTTGAATTTACTTCAATCCAATGAAAATTTAGATTACGGTTTGTCATGGGACGATTTGAACATGTTCGTTTCGGAAACTGTGGAAAATGACATTGAATACAATAACGTGAACGATTCTTGCATTGAAGAATTAGCATCGTTGCATTTGAAAGACACGGTTATGTTTTACTACACTCCCAGACCTCTGTCCAACGATTTGACATTATTAAGAGATAAATACATAAGTCTATTAACGGAAAAATTTTACGGTTCGGGTACTTATTTCCTCGCATCTATGGTATCTCAGACGAGAAAATCAGATGTTTACGTTTATAGGTTCGATTATAAAATCAAAACGGATAATGCGGTAACACTACCGAAGGGAGCTAATAGGTTACCCAATTGGATAACGGCTCCCCATCAATTCGATCTTCCTTTCATATGGGGAATGCCATATTGGAATCAAATAAAATCCGGCGTCACTTGGAACAGCGCTGATAAAAAAATGTCCGACGTTATGTTAACGCTTTGGGGTAATTTTGTCAAATACGGTAATCCGACACATTCGAATATTAATTTAAAATGGGATGTTTTTCAAGACAATATATCGACGATAATGATATTAGATAGGAATTCAAATGTGAGTGACGTAAATATATTCGATTATAAGGCGTTCGAATTTTGGAATAATTATTATCCGAAAGTATGGAATATATTACTTCAAGGATGTAACATGACGAGTAATGGAATTTCATCACGTGATTTTTTCCCATCAAAATTTAATTATCATTATTATTTTTTATTTATTTATCATATTTTTTTTTTGATTAATTAATTTTTTTTTTTTTGTTTTTGCTTTTAAAATTTTGTATAAAAAAAAAAAATTAAAATTTAATTTCAAAATAATAATAAAAAAATATTACGATGTAATTTTATTATTATTATTATTAACAAGATTATTATTTATATAATAATAAATATATATTAATATTTTTAAATAATATTAAAAGACGAAAAAAATTTTTTTTTATCGATAATAAAGTAATAATAATAATTTCCTTTATTTTAAAAATATTTAAAAAAAAAAAACGATTTTTAAATTATTAAAACGTTTTTTTTTTTTTTAAATTGGCGACAAAATTTAAAAACGTTTTTATTATTGTCGCGAGAGATCATGCGCGTCAATAATGTTTCCATTTTCCGCCGACAGATGTCTTCGTTTGGAAAATAAACGTTAAACGCTTTGATTCAGTTACGTGAACGCCCTCGTTAAGTGATCGTTATTTTATTTAAACGTTCGCGACGTTCGATTTCATTTTATTCAAAAAACAAAAACCATTTTCTTTTTCTTTTTTTATTTTTTTTTTTGTGGATAATCGTTGCGTTTAGTATTATAACGGAAATACGACATCGTGTTGTTGAGTGTATAACAAAAAGTAAAAGTACCAACAACACAAAAAAAAAAACAAAATGTCGACGGATATTTTACGTTACGCGACATTTTTTCAATTTTTCTTTTTATTTTATTTGAAATATAATTAATTTAAATTATATTTTTTAATGTAATTAGTGAAGTGAATAAATAATAAGTTTTTTTTGTGATTTCTTTTTTTTTTTTTGTTTTTTTAAATAATAATTTTAAGTTTTTTTCTTTAATAAATAAATAATTAAGAGAAAAACTTTATTATGTGACCGGTGTCGTCGTTGTCGTAGTAATAATAATAATAATAACCAAATAGTTAGTTTTTTTGTGTCGGAATCATGTTGTGGTTTAGATTAGTTATGTTTTTTTTGACAATATCAAAAGCTTTTTTAAGAGCTGCCACGTGTATGCAGTTACCAAACATACATTGGAATTCAACAAATCCTATGTAAGCACACAAATCATTATTATTATCATTATTATTATTATGGTTTTTTTTTTTTGTATGGGAAAAACATCATTGTGTTATTATGTTATGAAAAATCCATTCACGAAAAGTTTTTAAACTTTCCCGCGCGTTCGTTTTCGATTATTCTAAAACCGCTTTTATTATTATTATTCTTACAATAAAGTATTTTTAAACTCTCTCTCTCTCTCTCTCTCTCTCTTGTAGTCATATTTTTAAAAAAAAAAATTAATGAGCGGTTGTTATTCTCCCCCTCCTCCTCCTTCTTCTTCTTCCTCCGTATAATAATTATTATGGCAATATTTAATAAAATTAAGAGCCTTTTTTCTCTCTCTCTCTCTCCTCTCTCTCTGATCATTTAATTACTTACTCTTCTTTAATGGCGGATCCTCTCACTCGTCGACGATGGATCCACCACCGCCGACGCCACCGCCACTGCCGCTTTCAAGAGGTTTTTAACTAAATTAAATATTGTATACATATATATATATATATAACGCATTGTTGGATATTTATGTATGTACTTCTTTCAAAAAAAAAAAAAAACCGTTTTTTTTTTTGCAAATGGCGGCCGCTTTTTTATTTTTTATTTTTTATTTTCAAGTATTTATAATTTATTGAAATAACGAACTGTTAAAAAAAAATTTTTTTTTTTTTTTTTTTTTCTGGTTTAATGAATGATGGAAAATTTAATTAAGCCATTTATGGTCATTTGTGTGTGGTGAAGTTTTTTTAAATTGTCCCCCCTCTTCCTCTCCCCGCGCTTTCGTCATACTCCCCAACGTTTTAAACAATTATTCGTTCGAGTGATTATTATTATTTTTTAAAAAATATTAAAAAAAAAAAATAATGATAATGGAAAGGAGTGAGTGGGTGAGTGTGTGCGTGTGACGTATTCGAATGTTTGTTAAGTTGCCTTTCGAAAACAAACGAACAAACAAACAATTTAAAAAAAAAAAGAAGAAATTATTATTATTATTTTCATACCTGTTTAAATTATTCGATTCGTAATCGATAAATCATCAAAGGTTAAATCGAACAAACAAACAAACAATTTTTTTTTTGGTTTAATACCATTAATAAATCGCTGTTGTTGTTGTCCTTGTTGTCGTCTCTCTCTCTCTCTCTCTCTCTCTCTCTCTTTCTCTCTTTTGTAAGTGAAAAATGTAATCATTGTGTTTTTTTGTTTGTTGATAAGTTAAATGCCGTAGATAGATATGACATGCCTATAAAAAAAAGTTTTTTTTTTCGTTTTTAATCTTTATTTAATTAATAATAAGATTATATATATTTTTTTTCAAACCGTTTTTACCGTTGGTTGTTTTTGTAGGAAACAAGAAAAACAAAGTTTTCAAATAATTCATTTAATTTCTTATTTGGGGAAAAGGGGAAGGGGGAATGAAAAGGTTCAAAACTTCCCTTTTTATTTTATTTTATTTTTTTTTCCAAAATTTTTACACTAAGAAATCCAAAAAAAAAGGAAAAAAAAGTTGCGGCTTAGGTGAACCGCCACCACCACCACCTCTTCCTCCCACCCCCGCCATCGCCACTGCCACCCTCATCCCCACCTTTATTCCTCTCATATTTAATTATCAAATAACCCACCCAACCCTTGTTTTACGTTGCAAATCGATTTTACCATTTCACCCCCATCATATTTTATTTTCAATCCCTAATTCAAGTTAAATTTTCCTTTCTCCTTTACTACCACTCTCCTAACCTATCGCCCCTTAACTACCACCGTCATAATCATAATAATAATAAATTACAAGGTCTCAGATGGCCGATGATTTAAAGAACGGAACCGAATAAAAAAAAAAAAACAAGAGAAAAAAAAAGTGGTTTATTTTTTTTTTTAATCTTTGAGTTTCGTTCGTGTGTGCGTGTGTGAGTGCGTGTGCGTGTTGAGAGAAAGACACGCGTACGAGAAGCAATAAAAAATTAAAAAAAAAAAAAAAAGAAAGAATAATTAGACTTTGTTGTTGATAATGAAATAATACAATAATAATAATAATAACTAAAAGGGGAGAGAATTTAAAAAACTGAACAAAAAAAAAAATAAGGAAGAATCGTTAAACAGTTCATTTTACCAAAAAAAAAAAAAGACAGAAAAAGGGATTTGAAATCCCTCTCTCTCTCTCTCTTTAGATCTCTTTCGGTCTTAATTCTATTTATTTATGATTGAATAAAATGGTAGAGAATGGAGAGAGAGAGAGAGCCTTAATGATAATAAATTAAATACTTTATGCAACAACAATTGAACAACCGCCACCACCACCACCTCTATCACCTCCACCATCGCCGTAATTTAATAAGGGTTTTTATTGTCATGTCGAAAATCCTTCTGCTAAAATTCGTTTAGAATCTCCTTTAAAAAAAAAAAAATGAGGTGAAAATTATTATTATTATTATTATTATTCGTTTTCTCTTTTATTTGTTTTTCGTGCGTGTGTGTGTGTGTGTTGAAAATTATCATTTGATTCTTTTTTTTTGGGGGGAAAAGGGTGGAGGGGGTTGGTTTTTTTTTTTTTTCTAAAACATTTTCGATAAAATCTGTAATGGTAACTTTCTTTTTTATTTACGTTTGACATTTTTTTTTTTTTTTTTTACAAGAAAAAATAAAATTTTAGCCCGGGAAAAAACAAAAAAGTTTTTTAAAACGATTCGGTTTTATCGCGGCCTTAAGTATTTAAATCGCTTTTTTTTGGGTGGAGGAGGGGAGGGAGGGGAGGGGGAGGGCGAAAAAAGAAAAAATTATTACTAGAACATGAAATGAAAGTTATATAAAGTTTCAACATGGTTTCTGTCAATTACAAAATAAAGAAGAAGAAGAAAAAGAAAAAAAAATGAGAAGATAGATAGAAAGAAAGAAAGAAAGAATGATTCAGATTTCTTTCCCCCTTTTTTTTTTTAAAGTTCCCTCCTATTTTTTTTGTCGTCGTCGTATTATTATTATTATTATTATCATTATTATATCTTCCCTGTTATAAATAGAAAATCCTAATCCTCGATGATATTATATATATATATATATATATATATATATATATATATATATATATATATATATATATATATATATTTTTATTGGAAATTTTAGGGTTTATAATAAAATAAAAATTTCACATCGGTATCGGTTTCCTTTTGTTAACTTTCGACAATTTTCTCTTTTATTTTTTTTTTTTGTAAGAAATTTGTCGCACGTTTTTTTCTTTTTTTCGGGGGGTGGGAAAGGGTTTCAATTTTAATGATTGATTAAATCTTTATTTCGATAGTTTTCTTGTCGTATCGAAAGGAAAACAATTTTTTCTTTTCAATTATTATGGTTTCAAGTAAAAAAATGGTAGAAATAAAAAGTTTTAGAAAAATACGCAATAATAATAATGATGATAATAATTTTTAAATTTTTCGGGGGGTTATTCATCCCTTATTCCTTTTATTACTATCACCATCGTCGTGTTCGACGCCACCACTGACGCCATCATTCATCCCTCATTATTATTATTATTAAAGTCGAAAGATGTATAGTTTTTTTTATTTTCCTTTCCTTTTCTTCCCTCCTCTCCCTCTCCCCTCCTCCGGGTCAGGTGAAAATTTTCCCGAAAAGTTTTTTTTTTTTTTTTTAAAAACTCTTTTCTTTGATCGTGATTTTAACCAATTATAATTTTCGATTTTATCACTGATTAATGGCTAAGAAACGGTGTTAATTTTTTTTTTTTTTTTTAGATTTTAGATATTTTCGCGATATCTCGGATCCCCCTTAACAACTCGTAAAAATTATTATTATTATTATTATTATTTTTTTTTTTTTAAATTACGGCGCTGTACTTTTTTTTTTTTTTTTAATTTTCCCTTTTCCTTCCCTTCCCTTCCCTTTTCCCTTTCCCACCATTTTATTTTTTTTAATACGTTTTTCGTTGGGAATTAAAATTAAAATTAAAATAAT